ACTGATCTAGAATATGCCAATGACATAGTTCTATTCGGTGAAGACGCTGACAAAATGCAGAGTCTTCTGACTACCATAAGCAACAATGCGAGCATGTTCGGGATGCGGTTTTCCCCGTCGAAATGCAAAATGTTGCTTCAAGACTGGGTTGCATCGGCACCTGAACTAGTGATAGGGAGTGAAGTAGTCGAGCGTGTTGATCACCTCACTTATCTGGGGAGTCTCATCAGTGCTGACGGTCTGGTGACTGACGAAATCTCAGCTCGGATACAGAAAGCTCGATTGGCTTTTGCCAACCTGCGTCACTTATGGCGTAGGCGTGATATCCGTTCGCTAACCAAAGGGCGTGTGTACTGCGCAGCAGTTCGTTCCGTTCTCCTACATGGCTGTGAAACATGGCCGTTAAGAGTAGAAGATGTTCGTAGGTTACTAGTATTCGATCATAGATGTTTAAGAAGCATTGCTCGTATATCGTGGGACAGCCGAGTAAGCAATGCTGTCGTTAGGAAACGAGTACTAGGTAAGGATGGCAGATCAATCGATGAAGTGGTGAAACTTCATCAGTTGAGGTGGTTGGGACATGTGTTACGTATGCCTAACCACCGACTGCCTCGACGAGCTATGTTTTGTGGTGTAGGAGTAGGTTGGAAGAAAGTTAGGGGCGGCCAGACCAAAACATGGCACAAATCCATGAAATCACTGACAAGTGGACTGAGTCATGTTGGTAGATGTAGACTACCTGGTTGGGGTCCGCGAGACGAAAGTCATCAATGGTTAGAGACCTTGAACGACATGGCTCAAAATCGCTTGCAATGGCGCAGGTGCATCCACTCTTTGAGCTCTCTCAAACCGTAATCTTCTGGATTAGCCAGCACCTCTACCTTTGTCTTTCTAACCTTATATCACTGAATTATATTTTTTGAATAATATCTTAAACCCTAGTCTTCTTTATTATAACATTAATACCTCTACCATCTTTATCACTATGGAATTTGATTTGACATTTGCGTCTCTGTGCTAATAATGTGGTATGGCAACATGAACTTATGTACATACGTACGAAGTTCTACGTTGCAACTGACTGACTGACTGATTTTCAGATTGGTTGATCAGTTTGGTCAATATTGATGTGTTTGTTGATTGGTCATTGAATAGAGTGCTAGGCTTGTAAAAATTCTCCCTCTATCCAGTTTTTCAACATTGTTCTAATTGAATAAATGTCCTTAGTTGTCCGCATGTATTGATTTAAAGGGTAGAAATTGCATGACGTTTAATTGCTGATTGCTGAATACGGTGTCCGCTTTGTCCTATGTAGTGGTTTTCACAGTCTCAGCAGTTGTTTATTTTGTAGATGATATTTGGTTTCTCTTCCTTTGTCATTTGGTGTTTACATAGGATTGATTGAAGTGATTCTGTCAGTTTGTGTGCCACACCTATTCCAAATGTTTTCATTGGTCGTGCTGTATGCTCCGCTATGTCTTTTATGTATGATAGGATGATGCGTTTATTGATTCCTGTACTTGATTTCGATTCTGTTGATGGTTTCAGCTGATACTTTTTTTAATGAAGTTGCGTGGATTGCCGTTTTTTTGGAAGATAGTCATTAGATATTTTTCAATCTTTTGTGCTTCTTGTGTACTGCAATGTCTTTTAACTCTCTTAAACATAGTTTGTACTCAGTTAATTTCGTGAGTTCAAGGTCAACAACAACTTATCACGATCAAGGTCAACAGAACGAGCTACGTACGTGTCAAGTGTGTGGAGAAATTCGAGTAATTCACTTCTATCTTGAGCTTATACTGCTGATGATGTTGTGTTCAGTAGAACAATGAATGCTCCACAATGAACACATCCAGCTCACAGAACGAAACCCCATGTTATATACATATATATATATGACATCCCTACGTAGAATAAGTATTTCGTGGTACGACTAGTTTCTTTCACTCCTTGACCACTCCTTGATCAATCCGAAAAAATGTTTTGTTGACATTTCTTCATCGTCTAGCTTCATTCAAACTATTCACTGTAATTCCATACTTCCCTTGAAATATTCAACTTTTCATAATTCAGTTGTTAACCATGAGAATTAGCGAAAAATTGCTATGAACGTTTTGATTCAACCACTGTTGTCTTCAGTTATTCTTCAATGTAAACCACTGACTAAAACTGTTGCCAAATTATGCTTCCTTTCCGGTGAATTCCAGTTCTTGACTCGTATGCTTATTATTTCAGTGTAATTATTTATACTAAAAGTCTGTTAAATCCACTCGACAAGTCCCCAAATCAGAACACAGTGATGGAACAGGGGAAAGATTCTATTCCAACTAACTTTATAGTTTTTACATGAGAAACTTCTGTACTTCTGTACTCCAAGTGTCGACCAGCGTTGATTGGTTATGAATAAGCCAATCAGAGCGCAGATAAAGCTGTTATGCTTTAATCCATCAATGTCCCGCTAACACCTCCACTTTGAGCAGATTCGTAAGATCTGGTGCTAGAGTCTAACTGTTTCCTGGGTATCTTGCCACCCATACTCGTAAGAGCTGCCTGCTTTTTAGGTGATGTATCCGTGAACAACCGTTTTTTTGCCCGTATATATCATTGTTAGACCACCATTAGAAACCTGGAAGCACTGGACAGCCGTTTCATCCTGGTATGGGACTCATCAGTAGCAGTGCGCATCCACGACTCCTGCACCTCACAGGATTCGAACCCGGGACCTTCGGCATTGTACGCGAACGCCTAACCATCGGACCACTGGGTTAGCCGGCATCCAACGGTGTTAATGTCTAACTCTGATTGATCTACGGATTTTGCGCTACCTCACCCATTTTTCTTTGATAGCCTACCTTTCAACTTTCACCTGTTCCTTTTCGGCATTAACTTTGAAGGTGAATAACCAAAGAGTTACACAATCCCTTATGACTAAACCCAACTAAACATGATTACATCAATATACATGCTTTAGTATATATAATGTTACATTCTAAACTATATTCCTTTTAAATTTTGTAAATTTTCAGTATGCTAAATCTCAAGAGAAGAAACAACTGGATTCAGAGAAAAAACAATATGAAAAAGAAATCGACAGCATTCGTCAAGTAAATTTTCATATTTGCATTTATGTTATAAATCTCTCTTCATAAATAAGACTCAGCCAGCTATTCCTATTGCTTAGTATTATTCTCTGATAACCATACTCTCGACAAGTTGCCAAATTAGAACACAGTGGTCGATCAGGAATGAGATTATATTGTAAATGGTAAGGTTAAATTGAAGTAAGAAGTCGAAGCGGAGGTGAAAGTGAAACATAACGTTAGTATCTTTATAGTTTTTACATGAGAAGCAACTAGAATATAATTCACGTGATCGACTAGCACTGTAGTGAATGAGAACACAGGTGGGGCAACCGAATTGTATTTAACGAAAATTACAGAGTTACTCAGTAAAATTGGAAAACCATATCGTAAATCGTTCATTTGCAAAATATCAGTTCATCATATGGAACTGGACTGTTCCTGTTGCAAAACATCAACAATCCATTGTCACTATTCATGCGTTTCATACAAATTCCATTGTTTTCTAACTCTTCCTTTCTTGATCTTTCCCCATCTTCTGTTGCCAGACTTTACGTTGACACTCACGTTATATACTACTTATAAGTGGTTTGCACCACAGCACCACAGCACTGATCGATTAGATTTAGCCAATCAACTGCAGCTAACAACACGAGTATCGATCAGGCGCTGACTGAATAGGAATTAGCCAATCAGTGAGCAGCTATTCAAAAGCTTAAACGAGATCGAAAGTGCCCTTGTTCGATTTTCGCCTGACAGCTTATGGATTCATATTTCTGGAGAGTCTTATACTAAGAAGGCTAAACGGCCCAGATAAGTAACGGTGTTAACGTCTTACAAGGCATTTTCATCAAGAGTGGTTCGGTTGGCCCATGTTGTGTTGTATTGGAAAATCTTGCTTTTCCCTTTATATATGTTGAGACATACTGCTAATGAGTCTACTGATGCACTGGTCGTCTTCTGTTGCATTTGTTGTTGCGTGTATGATAAAAGAGTCAGATCATCTGCAAAGTCCAGATCGTCTAGCTGCATCCTAGCTGTCTATTGGATACTGTGCTTACCTCCAGATATTGACGTCTTCACAAACCAGTCGTTCACCAGGAGAAAGAGAAGGGGTGAGAGTAAGCAACCTCGCCTGACACCGGTCTTCACCTCAAACAAGTCTGTTAGCTGTCCTCCGTGCACAATTTTCCAGTTTAATCCATCATAAGAAATTTGTATGATGTTGACTATCATCTCAAGCACGCCGTAGTGTCGAATAAGCCTCCATAATATTGTCTTGCTCAAGCTATCGAATGCATTCCCGTAGTCGATGCAGTTAATGTAGAGTGGTGAGTTCCATTCAATTGATTGTTCCACAATGATCCGTAATGTTGCAAATTGATTGGTACACAATCCATCCTTACGAATTCCAGCCGGTTGATTTCAAAGCTGAGCGTCTACGAAGTCCTTCATTCGGTTGAACATTACCCTGTTGAAGACTTTGCCTGATATTAAGAGAACCGTGACACCTCTGGAGTTCTCACAATTGCTGATATCGCTTTTCTTTGATATTTCTATCAGGTATCCTTGTTTCCTGCCTGTCGGTACTTGTTCTTCATCCTAAATCTTGTTTAAGAGAGTGTGGAATACTTTTGCAGTTGCTGTCGCGTCAGCTTTGAACTTGGGAGATAAAACAGAATAAATATTAGCCAAAAGTTAGGAGTAATTTAGCGAAGAAACTATACACTTAACCCTACATTTTTCAACTTTTAATAATCCCAACTCACAGGATAATTTAAACAAATAAACTTGAAAAGTTTTTCATATTTTACAAGTTTATTTTTCATAGTTTACTATAACCTACCAGTATTTTGTGATTGTATTGCTCCAACCGCTTGACTGACACCGGTCTTCACCTCAAAAGAGTTTGCTAGCTGTCACCGGGGCACAGTTTTGCAGTTTAATTCGTCGTATAAATTCCGTAAGATGCTGACCATATTCTCAGGTACGCCGTAGTGTCGAAGAAGCCTCCATAGTGTTGTCTGCAACGCCATGATCAACCCTCCCCCTATATCCAGGCTTGGGACTGATATTGCCCCCGAAGTTTCTACAGGCGTTGTCAGTGTATATGTCTTGATGTAAATGAACAGCTTGCTTTTTGAACTGAGATCACTTGTTTGCTTATGTATTTTTGAATTTTCGTAAAAGCAGATTCTTATGTATTCTCTAAGGGCTGTTACTTTAGCATAAAACTTCTTTCTAATGAAATAAGTAATCTTTCAGTTTCACAACAATCAACATATATATAACTGTTTACCATTAAGCTAGAGATTATTGATTGATATTCTTGTCTTCAGTTAATGTTAGGATATTCATTAAATATCTTAAGAGAATTATTTTTGGAAGTCTAATTCTATTGGTCAATTTCTTACCGGTCAGTATTATGGTCGTCCTAACTGTTAACCCCACAGAATTTAATGTTGTTCCCTATTCGACCTCACTGTATAAATATGCATTATCTGCAACGTTTTATGACCCATTGCTTACTCGTATATCCTGGGACAACTGAGTAAGCAATGCTATAGTTAGGAAACGAGTACTAGGTAAGGATGGCAGATAAATAGATAAAATAGTGAAACTTCGTCAGTTGAGATGGTTCGGACATGTGTTATGAATGCCTGATCACAGACTGACTCGACAAGCTATGCTTTGTAGTGTAGGAGTAGGTTGGAAGAAAGCTAGGGGCGGCCAGACCAAAACATGGCATAAATCCATGAAGTCACTGACAAGTGGACTGAGTCAAGTTAGTGGATATAGGCTACTTGGTTGGGGTCCGCGAGACGTAAGTCACCAGTGGTTATAGACCTTGAACGACGTGGCTCAAAATCGTTTGCACTAGCGCGGGTGCATCCACTCTTTGTGTTCTCTCAAATTCTAACCTTCTGAATTCCTGATCATCTCTATCTTCTTCTTTCTAACTTTATCTTACTGAATTAAATGATAATCTTCTCCATTACTGCTAATACTTCTACTATCGCTACCACTATGGGATTTGAACTGACAGTTGCATCTCTTTGCTGATACAGTATGGCAACCTGAGCTGATATACATACGTACGAAGTCCTGTGTCATATCTGTCTGTCTGTCTTTATGACTCGGACTTGGATCCTTAGTCTGTAATCCTGATTCTCTTCTGGACTTAGACGTCATACTTTCTGGATGTTTGTAGAATATACATATTCTACTTCATATCAAGTCTTCTTCTTTTACTCATTGTTGGGGGCGGGGTTGTTTCAGACAATCGGATTATAGAGTAACTAGCCTATTGTGTCGTCGGATTCTTGATACTCGTTCTCGTTTCTCGACTAACGTAAACTCGTTATAATAAATAGTTCAAGCATATCAAACTGACATGTTTTTACATACAATGCGTAACAGTTAATCTGCGTTAAATTGTTCTTTCTATTAAACAATTTTTTTTAAAATTAATAATAATAAGAACGAATGACTTGAAAAAAAACACTTGTTTCCTTTCTTTTGCAGAAGTATAAAACTGCTGAAAAACGTTGTCATTCATTACAAGGTGAATTAGATAGAATGGAAATCGATAATCGTAAACTTAGTCAAGATTTTGAAACGAAATCCCTGAATGAAAATAAATTACGTCAAGAATCAGAAGAAATGCAAAAGAAAATCATGGAAATGGAACGTTCTGTTCGAATACATCAACTTGATAAATATGAAGCTACTGGTGAGGTAATAATAGAGGACATTTGATTTGTAAATAATAACTTTCTTTCCTCTTTCAAAGAATGTATAGTTTTGTTTGCCCAAACGTAGCTGCTACTTTGACGTGGTGATGGTCGGGCTTGCCTATAGTGAATGACCCAACTGAGATATATTGGCTGGAACATATGTTCCTGAAGGTTCTGCCATGCCAGCCAGGCAGGTCGATTGGAGAACGATGAGACTAAAAGAAGCTACTCGACGTCTGAGGGCGAAGTCGTACTGCTGACTGACTGTGGAGGGGTGTGACAGCAGTAAGGTGTTTCCTTCGGAAAACCAGCATCTGCAGCGATGCTGCCTTCTCACAAGGAAGCAAGGGGTTAGAAAAGGTCGACCCTAAAAATGTCACACCTCACCCTACCTCACAGATTTCCGTCTCCGGCGGTAAGGGTGGCCACTAAGGGCCTTTAAGAGCGGAGCTAATACTAAAAAGGCCGTGCGTGACCGGTCTTAAGCAGTTGTACCTTAGGCTCGGCGGTCATGCTCCCAGGTCTCCAAGACCAACACTAATCTATCTACCTTTTCAGGTCCCGCAAGAAACAACCTTCCACGGTGTGGGCAGCCGGGAAGTGACAACTGCCCGCATCCCCGCAACAGCACACAAGACGGAATTGGTCGAAAGCAAAATAGCTTTGTTCTGAAATGACGGGGAATTGATGTTATTTGATTTGATGCGTAAAAATAGTATAATGATACTGTAGGATGAAATAGCTGTCTGGTGATCTCTTATTTTCAGTGATACTCAAACACCAATCATTTATGAATTCCGTCTAAAGGTAATATTTGTTTAAATGATATAATGAAAAGTCATGAAATATGCTGATTAGTAACGTGCTTAAAGAGGAAATTCCCGGAATTCCAGTGAGAAACTATGACCAGTGGAGTTGAACCCTGTTGGGTATCAGTCAGTCAATCAATCAGTTACAACGTAGAACTTCGTACCTACGTACATCAGTTCAGGTTGCCATACCACATTAACACAGAGACACAACTGTCAGTTCAAATCCCATAGTAGTAACAATAGTACAAGTGTTATCTGTAATGGAGAAGTTTAGGGTTCGAAGATATGAATCAAGAAGTATAATCCAGTGAATTAAAATCAAAAAGAGGAGGATGAAAGTGATGAACATTCCAGAGGATTAGGATTTGCGAGAACACAAAGAGTGGATGCACCTGCGCCATTGCAAAGGATTTTGAGCCATGTCAGGGTCTATAACCATCGGCGACATTCGTTTCGCGCACACCAACCAGGTAACCTACATCTGCTAACAAGACTCGTTCCACTTGTCAGTGATTTCATGGATTTGTGCCATGTTTTGGTTTGGCCTCCACCACAGCATTCTTACAACCTACTTCTACACCACAAAAGATGGCTCGTCGCGGCAGTCAGTGGTTAGGCATATGTAACACATGTCCCAACCACCTCAAACTGATGAAGTTTCACTACTTCACCTACCTGCCATCCTTACTCAAAACCTGTTTCCTAACTATAGAATTACTTAGTCGATTGTCCCAGGATATACGAGCAATACTTCGGAGAAAGCTATGATCGAAGACAAGCAACTCACGAATGTCTTCTATTCTTACCGGCCATGCTTCACATCCGTATAGTAGAACGGAGCGAACTGTTGCAAAGTACACTTATCCTTTGGTTTTAAGTGTAGGTAGTAATTGCCTAAAATAATGGGTGAGGTTGTGCAATATTAGAGAGTGAGTGAGTAAAGTTAGACATTAGATGCTGGCTCAGTGGCTTAGAGGTTGAGCTTTAACTCGTGGGACCAATGGTTCTAGGTTCGGATCCAGCGAGTTGCAGGAGTCATGCGTATGCACTACTGATAAGTTACATACTAGTATGGAATAACAGTCCAGTGCTTCCAGGGATTCTAACAGTCGATTCACAATGTCAAAGAATGAGTACCGTTTGCCTCAAGTTTATCACACAATTTTTGAAACCATGAATCGACCAATGTTAGACCAGCATTAGAAACCTGGAAGCACTGTAAGACGGCCGTTTCGTCCTGGTATGGGACTCCTCAGCAATGCGCATCCACGACTCCTGCACCTAGCAGGATTCGAACCCAGGACCTTCGGTATTGTGCGCGAACGCACTAACCGATAGACCACTGTGCCGGTATCTAACGGTATTAATGTCTAACTTGATCAAATTCACGGAGTTGCGCAACCTCATACACAGTCTTCGGTAGACACTGTCTACACCCGAACAGGTTGAACTTCACTGGTCACGTCTTCCCACTAGAACTCGGAGAAGATTCCTCACGAGGCTAGTCACTAGTGAGCACAGGTAATTTGTATTACGGGGTTGTGAAGATTGTTAAGTTACACAATTTTTGAAACCATGAATCGATCAATGTTAGACCACCATTAGAAACCTGGAAGAAGCACTGGACGGCCGTTTCGTCCTGGGATGGGACTCCTCAATTTATCAAAAACTTCGTGTTATATATTATTCAATTATTCTCAGACAATCGTTGAACAATCTTAATTCTTTTTTCTTTTCCCTCTCTTTACTATTATTATTAGCTCGAACGTTTACGTTCACAATTAATGCGTATTGTATTCGCTGTTCTACCTGAAAAGGCGCTAATAAGAAGTTCAATTTCTGAAGTCAACAGTCAACCTATTGATAATGCCAGTGAATTATCCAATTCACCGAAATTGTCATTTCATGAAAAATTGGATTCTAGTCAAACTATTATAAATCAAAATCAACAATTAATCGATCATGTACAATTTCTAGCTGATGAATATAAACGTTTACAACGTGATATGAAAGAGACTAATTCAATAGAAGAGAAAATTAAACAACGTAATAAAGAACTTGAAAAAGAATTAGATCAATTCATTGATGTTTATACAGAATCTCAAGTAATGAATTGATTTTTTTAGTTTTTTTTTGTGATTATTGATTGATTGGTTGATTCACTGACTGATTGATTCTCATGTGTAATCATTAATGGTTACTTTGATATATGTGAGACTGTTTGACCTTGGATCAGGAGTGTGAACACACTTCATTTAGTTTTGATGCTGTTAGAATATTCAGCCAATATCCTAAGAGAGAATTATTGATCAGTTCCTATTGGTTAATTCCTATTGGTCAATTTTATGGTCCGAACCCAGGACCTTCGGTATTGTGCGCGAACGCACTAACCGATAGACCACTGAGCCGGTATCTAACGGTGTTAATGTCTAACTTGATCAAATTCACGGTTCATGGTTTCAAAAATGTGTAACTTAACAATCTTCACAACCCCGTAATACAAATTACCTGTGCTCACTAGTGACTAGCCTCGTGAGGAATCTTCTCCGAGTTCTAGTGGGAAGACGTGACCAGTGAAGTTCAACCTGTTCGGGTGTAGACAGTGTCTACCGAAGACTGTGTATGAGGTTGCGCAACTCCGTGAATTTGATCAAGTTAGACATTAATACCGTTAGATACCGGCACAGTGGTCTATCGGTTAGTGCGTTCGCGCACAATACCGAAGGTCCTGGGTTCGAATCCTGCTAGGTGCAGGAGTCGTGGATGCGCATTGCTGAGGAGTCCCATACCAGGACGAAACGGCCGTCTTACAGTGCTTCCAGGTTTCTAATGCTGGTCTAACGTTGATCGGTTCATGGTTTCAAAAATGTGTAACTTAACAATCTTCACAATCCCGTAATGCAAATTTTATGGTCGTCCTAGATATCAATGTCACGTTCTCCGATGTGATTTCTTATTGGTTGTCCTGACTATCAATGTCAGTTCAAATGTTACTTACTTCGTACTGGTCGTCTTAACTGTCAATGTCACAGACTTCGATGGTGTTCCCTATTCGACCAAAATGTATAAATACGCATTATGTGTAACGTTTTATGACCAGGACCAGGACCCGGTCCCGGATCCCTAGTCCGGGATTGTAGGGTTCGTCACTAGGTACGCTTGAAGCCATTACGAGTTCACCTTAGTCGATAAACGCGAACAAGACAATGAACCAGCGTCCAGGTAGGCTACATTGAATCCCAAGCTGGAGATAAAAGGCTGTGTAAGCATAGAAAGTATATTCTACAAACACCTAGCAATCACAATACAATCAAGCATACAACTCGCTTTTATCTATACATCAGAGAAACGTCTTTGGGACAGTTACGAAAACAGCACACTAAAGTAAACAGCAGCCAATCACAGCCATAGATTTTCCTGGTGGGAAATAAAATCTCAGTGTCAACTGATCAGCCCATGCTGGCAAACAGGAAATCCAACAGGAAATCCCCAACAGGAATCCTGTTTCTCTTCTGGATTCGGACCTCGTACTTTCTGGATGCTTATAGAATACAGGTTCTACTTCATATCAAGTCTTCTTTTTACTCAATATGGGGTTGGTTGGAATAGTCGGATTTGAGTAGCTTGTTGTGTCACCGGATCCTCGATCCTCGCCCTCGTTTGCCGACTAATGTAAACTCGTAATAGTTCAAGTATATCAAGTTGACGTGTTTACTTACGTGCAGGCGTAACAGATGATCCCATTGTTCCTCTGAACATCATCATCAATATTTCAATGAGAAATGAGTTGTTGGAATTATTATTCACCGCCGGTTCCACTGATTTGGAATTGGATCGAATTTTGTTCACACATATATGTGGTTATTCTGTCTGTGTGTGTGTGTTTGTCTTATTTATTGAAGCATAAATCCGTACAGTTAATACTCTAAATACTTTATTAATTTCATTTTGGTTGGTTTAGCAAAATATGAAAGATACACCGAGGTTACGTTCATCATTACGATTGAAACAACAAATGGAATTATTAACTGCTTATGTTCCGACAAGTGAAATTTTAAAACGATTACAACTAATCTTGTTGAATGATTTACAAGATCAAGTGAATACACAACAACGTCTTGAAGATTGTACACAAGAAGCGGTTGGAGCAATACAATCACAAAATACTGGTAGGTTATTATAGTAAACTATGAAAAATAAACCTGTCAAATATGAGAAACTTTTCAAGTTTATTTGTTTAAATTATCCTGTGAGTTGGGATTATTAAAAGTTGAAAAATGTAGGGTTAAGTGTATAGTTTCTTCGCTAAATTACTCCTAACTTTTGGCTAATAATTATTCTGTTTTATCTCCCAAGTTCAAAGCTGACGCGGCAGCAACTGCAAAAGTATTCCACACTCTCTTAAACAAGATTTAGGATGAAGAACAAGTACCGACAGACAGGAAACAAGGATACCTAATCGAAATTTCGATTATAGGGGCGTCACGACTCTCTTAATATCAGGCAAAGTCTTCAACAGGGTAATGTTCAACCGAATGAAGGACTTCGTAGACGCTCAACTTTGAGATCAACAGGCTGGAATTCGTAAGGATGGATTGTGTACCGATCAATTTGCAACATTACGGATCATTGTGGAACAATCAATAGAATGGAACTCACCACTCTACATCAACTTCATCGACTACGAGAAAGCGTTCGATAGCTTGAGCAAGACAACATTATGGAGGCTTATTCGACACTACGGCGTGCTTTAGTTGATAGTCGACATCATACGAATTTCTTATGATGAATTAAAGTGAAAAATTGTGCACAGAGGACAGCTAACAGACTTGTTTGAGGTGAAGACCGGTGTCAGGCGAGGTTGCTTACTCTCACCCCTTCTCTTTCTCCTGGTGAACGACTGGTTTGTGAAGACGTCAATATCTGGAGGTAAGCACAGTATCCAATAGACAGCTAGGATGCAGCTAGACGATCTGGACTTTGCAGATGATCTGACTCTTCTATCGTTTACGCAACAACAAATGCAAGAGAAGACGACCAGTGTAGCAGCAGCCTGAGAAGCAGCAGTATGTCTCAACATATATAAAGGGAAAATCAAGATTCTCCGATACAACACAACATGCTCCAACCAAATTATTCTTTATGGAGATACCTTGGAGGATCTCACGCCGATGTTAATACACGGATCGGCAAAGCAAGTGCTGCATTTCTGTAAATGAACAAAATCTTAAATTCAAAACAACTATCAACCAATACCGAAGTTAGCTGTCATAGTAACATGTAAAAATTCGAATCATGCATTGACATGATTGAAACACTAACGAAATCATATCAACACAATTAGTTGTTTCTATGTGTCTAGTTGTTGGGGATGTTAGATCCCCAAAATTCGCTTGATAAATGCCTTATTTTGGTTTTCACGTTTGCCAGCATGGGCTGATCAGTTGTCCTTGAGATTTCATTTCTCGCCAGGAAAATCCATGCCTGTGATTGACTGCTGTGTATTTTATTAGTGTGCTATTTTCTTAACTGTCCCACTAGGACGTTTCTGTGATGTATAAATAAACGAGAGTTGTATGCTTGATTGTATTGTGTGCTTCCTGGGTGTTTGTAGAGTATACTTTCTACGCTTACAAAGCCTTTTATCTCCAGCTTGGGATTCAATGGAGCCTACGTGGACGCTAGTTCATTGTCTCGTTCGCGTTCGTAATAGGTTCAAGCATACTAAGTGAAGAACCCAATACTAGTACACTCACTGAATACAGAATAATAGAGTGAAATATGTGACCATGAGAATCCTTATGGTACATATATTCAATCTCATTATTGCCAAACTACATGTTTTGCATAATAGCAACCTCAACTTTTGTTTTGAAGATAACTATCAGCCCATCATTCATCTTAAATTTTACGCTCTTTTAAACTTTGATTCAACAGTTCAATGTATGTTACAAGTTTCATTTTAATTTCGACTATACTGGACATAGTTTTGACTAGGTTATATTCTAAGTCAATGAAAAGACATTTTTGATTACCACAAAGTGGTGATATTTAAATTTAAAATCTTCTGAGCAACATTGTACATTGAACAATTGACATACGTCAGCCATACTTCTTCAGTCAACTATTTGAATTTAGTTTTGTTTAAATTTTTCTTTATTCATCTTATTACATTATTGTATAGATATAAATATAGTTATTCGTCCAGATGATTTAATTAGCACCATAAGACATTTAGCTGAATTAACATCAACAATGATACAACAGAAAAATGGTTTATTAAAACAATTAAAAACGAATGAATTAGAACATGAAGAAGAAATGGTGAAGACGAAATCATTAATACAAAATGAATGGAAAAATTTCATGGATGATAAAATGGCCAAATCAAATTATGAAAGTAAGTTAGTCATATATTTTGTTTGATGATGACAATGACAAAAAAAAGTAGATTTTTATCATCAATTATAATATTGTCAAGTATTGTCAAGTGGTAGTGTGATGTGCGCTACTTATAAGTAATATATGACACGAGTGTAAACGTAATGTCTGGCAACAGAAGATGGGGGGAAGATCAAGAATGGAAGAAGAGTGGGAACACAATGGAATTTGTATGAAACGCATGAATAAGTGAAATGTCAGACAATGGATTGATGTTTTGCAAATGAACGATTTACGATATGGTTTTCCTATTTTACTGATTAACTCTGTAATTTTCTTTATATACAATTCGGTTGCCCTTGTAGTGAGGGAGAACACAGGTGAGGGAGGTAGTTGGTACTCATTATCTGCTGAGCACCTTAAGCCACAATGCAAGCATGTTCCGCGTGCGGTCGTCCCCCTCGAAATAGGAAATGTTACTTCAGGATTCACTTGCATCGGAACCTAAACTAGTGATAGGGAGTGAAGTGGTTGAACGTGTTGACCGCTTCACTTATCTCGAGAGTTTCATCATTGCTGATGGATGGCCTGGTGACTGAGCAAATCTCAACACGGGTACGTAGAGCTCTATAAGGTTTTTCCAACTTGCCTCACTTAAAGTGTAGGCGAGATATCCGTCTGCTAACCGCTGGAAGAGCCTACTGTTCAGCAGTTCGCTCCTTCCTAGTATATGGATGCGAAACATGACTAGTAAGAGTGGAGGATACTTGTAGGTTACTAGTATTCAATCAAAGGTGTCTTCAAATAAGTGCTCGTAGATCCTGGGACAACTAAGTATGCAGTACTTTTGCTACGAAACGAGTACTAGGTAGGGATGGCAGATCAATTGGTGAACTATTGAAACCTCATCGGTTGAGGTGGTTGGGACATGTGTAATTATGCCTAACCACCAACCGCCTCAACGAGCCATTTTTTGTGGTGTAGGAGTAGGTTGGAAGGAAGCTATGGTGGCGGCCAAACCAATACATGACACAAATCCATGAAGGCATTGAAAAGTGGACTGAGTCATGTTGGTAGATGCAAACTATCTGGTTGGGGTCTTCGAGGCGAATGTCACCAATGGTTAGAGACCGTGAACGATAAGGCTCAGATTCGTTTGCAATCGCGCAGTTGCATCCATTCATTGTGTTGTCTCAAATTCTAACCTCGATTCCTCATAATCTCTATCTTTCTCTTTCTAAATTTATCTCACTGAATTATACTTCTCGATTCATATCTTTGAACCCAAATCACACTTATGCTCCTACATTCTCTATTACTATGGGATTTGAATTGACAATTCTGTGTTGTGACTGACTGATACTAATCAGAAAGTTGTACCTCTGATCTTTATGGAACTGAAGCTTGTTACCGAACTGGAACCCATGTTATCTAGCTTCACAATCAGAGGAGACGCGACCACTGAGTCTTCTGTGCCGCGTCTGATCTCCTGTTGGACTGAGGCGAATTTACGATAGGCTTATTACTTGTTGCTGACGAATCTCTAATGTGTAGACAAATAATGACGGGTTCTATAGATTAGCGGTCACATTGCAACCTGGTCGATAGAATTCAGTCAGTACTAAGAGGAACTCAACAGTCGTGATATCAGCAAAAGTATAATGTAAGTCGTTTGTGTATATGGACATCGAAGGTTGTTTACGATGTAAGTGAACGGTCAGAATAAATTTAAATGTTTTCGTTGTAGAAACTCTCAGTTTGAGTTCTTTTCTTGTACATTAAAACGAAAATATACCATGATAGTTTTAGTGTTGCATATTTCGATAGTTTTAATCTTGTGACTCTTTCGTTTGTCTGATAAACTTCATTCAATTTCTGAAATAACATAACTAGCAGTATAGAGTTAGGTGACTTTGTATTGAGCAACCCACAGTGTCTTCTGGTTTATTTAGATGAGTAAAGCTGCTAATCTTAGAATAAGTTTCTCCAACAGCTAATAACTTCATGAACATGTGTCATATCTTAGTCTGAGCGCTGACAATTCTTTTACAGTCCAGTTTTGGGGTGGACAACGTAGTATGATGGGTCAGGTTATGTATGAACATTAATGCAGCTCATTGAAATCTCACTATTTAGTGAAGATTTTTAACTCTATCAACTATTTCGATATGTTGACACATTGTTATGCTCATGTAATTGAGTTTAACCACTCACTGGTTCTGCTGTCAATAGTTAACAATTTGACGACATGCATGACAGGATAACAGTGACTCTGGATGTCGTCTAAGTTTATTGGGTCTATCTTACTACAGTCCTGTTATTCGAAATGAAATGCTACTCACAGTAATTAATCTTGTACAGACAAACTACTAAGTATCGTGCAAGATTTCGTCAACCCTTACGGTTAACAGACTTAAATACTTTATGGATTATGCCTAACACAACTACAACATTCTTACCATGTCGATTGAGATAGTTGAAGAACAATCATAAATGATGCGAGACTTAAAGGAATGTTTGTACTTTTTTAATTCTCAGATGCAGATAAATTACAAAAAGCTGTCGAAGAAGTTGCACGTGTAGAACGAATGAGACAAGAACAACTATTATCTGATAAAGAAGCAATTATTGAAGAACTTGAAAATAAATTACGTGAAACTCGTCAAGTGAGTTGTGAATTTTGTATGATGCAGTTTTCATCTGAAAATATCTAGTTGAGTAGAAAATTTACACATATTCGCATATTATATTTGAATGAAATTTAAAGTTTGCATTGTGTTGTACTCTAGGCGAAGGTTAACTATTATGAAAGCAATTTTTGAAGGAGATAACTAAACGTTTTTTAGCCAGTGGTGATATTACCCGATTTTGTGAAGGACTAGTGAGAGAATAAATTTGTTGATACTGTTGGAGACGTTAGATCTCCAGAACACACTTAGAAAACGTCCTAATATTGTAATGTATTTCTGAAATTTCGAATTTCTGTGTTTTCGCGCAAGAGACTCTATGCTGACCGTCAGTTTACACTTCCTACTAGGAAAATCCATGACTGTCATTGGTTGACGGATTATCATTGTATAAATAAGCTTGACTTATGTGTTGAGCGATCTCGTATTTTCTGGATGCTTGTAGAATACATTCTCTACGCTTTATCAAGACTTCTTGATTTAGTTAGCAAGGCTAGTGACAAACGAACTAGAATAGCCTATCATGTCACTGTATCGTTGCTGATCATCGTTCAGTTTATCAAGTAAGGTGAACTCGTATCAGTTTCTAGCATATTAGGTATTGAAACGAATTTTCAGGTGTCATGTACCAGAAATGGATGAAGTATATACATACAAACAGTTGTCTCCATGAAAATATAAGTCCATGTTTAATTTTACAGTGTTTTAAAACCAAGATCTCGTAAAACATAGAAATAGAATCCTTCCATCCATTAGTTTCTAAGATTTAATGTTAATCGATCTTTCAGCATAAACGTCAACAAGTATTTCATTTACGAAGTTCCAAAACGATAATCTATGTCTGCCTGATGATCTCAAAATCTGATTCCAGTCATTGATCATAATAACATCAAACTTAGTCAATACAACTACCTAAACATAGAATATGAGCTGAAATTGTAAAATCAAAGATCGCTAATAAAGATTTATTCGACTCTTGAAGTAAATCGAAAATGACTTAGGAATCCACCACTTTTTAGAATGATTTATGTATAGTTAGATAAACAGTCAGTTGAATCACTCAAGTTGATTCAGTGATTAGTCAGCATATCATATATACTAGGACACTGTACGACTTATACAACATTTATCGGTCAAATTTTATCGCAACACAAAACGATTGAGGTGTTAAATATGACATGAATCATATCCAATGAACAGGTAAGTATGAAGAGCAATCATGAAATTTTTTTTAGTTCATGCCTTCCGGTACAATTTTCTAATATAACTAGATACACTTTCTCTAATATACGTAAACTACATACAGTAAACGCCCCTAAGCAGATTTAAGTGCGAAACCTATCGAAACTCGAGAGGTTAGTCACGGTCAGTGTAATTAAAATCTGACAACAACGTACATCAACACAAATTTACACATCAGATTAGTAAAATAATATGAAATAAACAATATCTATCAACCGTACGTAGAATAGTGGGGATAATAGTCGTAATATCAGTGGCAGTAAGACAAGTGAAACATTCTTCTGAAAAAGGAGTAATATAGGCGAACAAAAGGTAGGGAATTTTATGTTGTAACCGATAATTTAGACGAAAAGAGTAAATTTTAGGTTCGTCACTAGGTACGCTGAATCTATTTCGGGTCCACCTTAGTCGATAAATGCGAACAAGAGAATTAACCAGCGTCCAGGTAGGCTACAATAATCCGAAAACGGTAAAAGAGAAGTCTTGATAAGCGTAGAAAGTATATTCTACAAACACCTAGCAAGCATAATACAATGAAGCACACAACTGTACCTTCAGCCTTCGCTTGCTTTGCGTTAAACCCGAAGGTACCTTTTGTTCTGGGGGGGATGTGAGGAGAAGCGTATGGGATTATCTGGAAGAAGAAAGAACAAGAGAAAAAGATGAGCCGACGACTCAGTAGGCAAATAGAATGCACTTACATGTATTATACGAATAAATAGACAGCAACAAGATATAAAGCCAGCGTGAGATTAAGACAAACTGATAAACGAAACTAGGAGTTGATAGAGTTAGGTTTCGAATGCGTTGTTACACAACTCTCGTTTATTTATGCATCATAGAAACGTCCTTGAGACGGTCAGAAAAACAGCAGACTAAAATACACAGTGTCAACTGATCAACCCATGCTCGCAAACATGAAATCCAAAGTAAGGCATTTATCAAGCGAGTTCTGAACAGTAAAATAAGCCAGATTTTCTTCAGAACGATTCATTTTTATTCATTTCACTGTACGAACATGACTGTAATAACACAGTCACTGACTTTTCGCCTTGATTAATGAATTAATCATTATCAGCTTTCATACAATCTACTCTTGGCCTAGTCGATTATGCACGTGAGCATAGTTAATGACTGTGTACTGATAGCATATTTTATTATTGAAATAAGATTTTAATATAGTTTTATCTCATATTTTCTATTTTCTCAAATAACCATTGAGTAACTTTTTAAACATTATCAAAGATTTTGGCCGAAAAACAAACTACTCATGAAATGGAATTAAATGAAGCAAAAGAAGAAAATGACCTTGTGTTAAGATTAAAACAAGAAAATGAATTGAAAGATAATCAATTACAAGAATTGAAATCACAATTAGATCAACAAAAATTGGCTGAATTAACATTACGTGAAGAAATTGAAAAACAATGTGAATCACGTTGGAAAGCAGATTTAGATAGTAATAAAGAACAAGTACAACAACATTCAAGAACAATATGTGCTATGCAAGAGCGTCTGGTCAAAATGGCGAAACAGTTAAATGAATCTAAGAATGAAGTGATCAAATTAAAACGTAATAATTCAGGTAAACAAAATTTTCAATTGGCTATTTATTATAAGATGAAATTGAAGAAACTTTTGATCTGAAGTAGAATGTGTATTCTACTAATATCTAGAAAGTACGAGGTCGAAGTATAGAGATGAGAATCAGGATTCTGGACTAGGGATCCGATTACGAGTCCGAGTTATGAAACGTTACAGACAATGCGTATTTATGCAGTTAGGTTGAATAGGAAACAACATTTTGAAGTATGTCACATTGATAGTTAGGACGACCAATAGGAATTAACCAATAGAAACTGACTAGTAAATCCAGACTTACAAATAATTCTCTTAGGATAGTGGATGAGTGTCCTAACAATTAGGCAAGGTGCAAATGGCTTCGTCTACTGTGTTTCAACCTGTAAAGTTATAAAATTCTTATATTAGACTACACTTTCATAAGCATAAAAGTGGAAATAGTTCACTCTTTTTCCAGAGTGCTCTCACAAGGACATGTATATTGATACACTGACACTATTCTGCTCACTGCCTTCTTGCGGCAAAGATGTTATTTACGAAATTGAAATAATGGAAAGTGAATGTCTAGCGCTTAAATGAGGTTGATGTGTACAAAGCACCTACCTAGGTTAGTTAAAAACCCTCATTTCGAAACCATGGTGCACAGTGACTATAGGATACTAATGTGAAACAAGTGGGGCTTGAACCAGTCTTTGATTATCGACTATCGCAGCACTGGAAATCCTGACGCTCCTCTACTGACTTGAATACTAGACTTTTAGGTCAAAGTCTTGTAGAGTTGCTTCTTAAAAAAAAACTGAATTTGTTAGTGACCACTGGGTCAGCCGGCATCCAACGGTGTTAATGTCTAACTCTGATTGATCTACGGATTTTGCACGACCTCACCCATTTGTCTTTGGTAATTATTGCCTACACCCGACAGGGTTGAACTCCATTAGTCACGTCTTCTCAACTATAACTCCGAGAATTTCCTCACGAAGCTAATCACCAGTGTGCACTGTTAGGATATTTTCGGGAAGAGTCCTAGAGGTTCTTGTGTTTTTACACATTTGAAATCATCAGTCAATCATTGTTAGACCACCATTAGAAACCTGGAAGTGTTAAACTATATGACAAAGTTACGTTACGTTAGATTAAATATCAAAGCATATTGGTTTATGCTATATTTAAATTGGTCAGTATTATTAATTGGAAATAATACGTTCAACCTTAGTTCAATTGTAAAAATCCTCATAATCTTAATAAAAATCCAGTTCTTGGCAATTTTCAACGTCATATTAAGAAGGGGCAAGTGTAAATATATCTGAAATCGACAAATGCTAATTGATAGAATAAAAATTCTACACAGAAATGGATACAAAATGGTGATTGTCTCGTCACAGTTATTTTTTAGGGTAAAAACATTTTGTTTTCGAAATGCTAAATAAGGAAATGCATGGTTACTACTTGTTGGATATAAATCACTTAACTTTGACTATGACAGAGGTTTAGAGCGATTATGGAATTTCATAGATTGCATCACTGGTTAGTTAGTCTTAGTCCTGAGTTCGATCTCCGATGACATTGTTGATATGCACTGTCGGGCTGTTAAATGATAGGACACAACAGTTATTCAGTGCTTCTTAAATTTTACTGGTTGTGTTTTATTAACATCAACCGGTCATATAAACTTAACGGTAATTTTCATCCATGTCATGAATGTGAGTAGTAGTCGATCGAAATGTTAAACCAGAATGAAAGCAGTTTTCTTCGGTTTATCAGCTGCCTATCAAAAGTCTACTTATTGACAAAACGAACTAGAAATCAAACTCAATACGATTCGATCAAAAATATGATACCAATATTTGATATTACATAATTAGTATGATCCTATTTAGTAGATAACTATAAGTCTACAAATTTTAGTCACATTATACATTGTTAGATAAATCAATCACCCTTAGAACAAGTTGATACTTACTTACTTACTTACTGATTTACTTACGCCTATTACTCCTAATGAAGCATATGCTGCCGACCAGCATTCTACAATGTACTCTATTCTGGGCCTACTTATTCGCAAGTCCAACCGAAATGCTAATCATTCTTTTCATGTCTACATCCAATCCTCAACGTAATATGTGTGTTCTTTGGTCTTCCTCTTTTCCTTTGGCCTTGAAGAACAAAATGATAAAGTTAAAAAAAATTAATTGCACAATCTTGAATGTATTTCCAATCAAAAAAAAAGCAGATAAAAATTGAATGCAAACAGAATAAATAATAATGCAGAAAATGCTACTTTAAAAAAAAATCACACATTTTCATTTAATTCAATTACATAAATTATCTCATTTTTAAACTGCAGACTTACAACATGATCATAAACAATTACAAACTCGTCTAACTCAGGCTAATAGCCATATTCAATCTGCACGTACCAACAAAACATCAGCACGTTCGTACGCTGATGCAAATAAACGTCCTTCGACCAGTTCATCAATGCATGATAATGCAAGTGCAAGATTAGTTGATAAATTAAGGTAAGTTAAATCAGAGTAATAACAATATCAATAGTGATAATAAGAGTATTTTATGAAGTTACTGAATTGTGGTACCTTAAAAATCTTGATTTCCAAATGATTTCTAAATTATTCAACCTCTTTATTGTTTATTATGCTATTATCAGCTAACATGTGAAATGTCGTCACACAGGAGAATAGCTTTGAAAATAATACTTGTGAATCGGTTAAAACATGACTTAAGTTCTTGAATTCAGCTGATAGCACTTAGTAATGAAGATAAGGATTTATTGTTTGAAAGAATTACCTGTTGATTCCTGTGACAAAGTTACGTTCAATTACTATTATCAGTAACGTTCTGACTGCATTTTCACCTGTAGATTTTTGAGTCGAAGGACTATGAACACGTCTATAAACCAGTTAAGTTGGTTTCCCAAGCGTTATCTCAAATCTTTTACCAGGAAGAAGAGGATGGGATTGACCAGATGAAATAAGTGTATTTGCTGGCGATCTTGTAGTATCGAAAGAATACAAAAACAAGCCAGAAAATAAGCGAAAGGTACAAGGCAGGTTAAAAATGTTGGCGACCTTCAAGAGAAGAAGCGCGATTCAGAGGTACGAATAAACAAATGTTCGGTAAAACGTTCACTGACACAACTGGTTAAAACAATAAATGTTGCCATTTAGCCAGTCGTATTTTCTTGAAAGTGAAACAACTACAGCAGCTCCATGCTAGAAAGGGTGAACATTTCCAAATCGTAGCGGTTTTCATCCTAAGGATGTGAGATTATAGGACCTAAGAGTTGACGAGCAGGAAGTGACCCATGATACTCGGGTTGTCACTGAAGGTATTTAACGTAAAATGGTCTCAGCAGTAACGTGACATTTTTGTTGCTCAATTTTGCGTGCCATACTCAAATGAATTGTATCCGGAGTCTGAAGATGGCTTTCGAAGTGTTCAAGCAAGAGAACCCTGCAGACGTATGAAGATACGGCGTTGAGCTGTGAATACGGTTATAAAAAGTCGAATACGGATTCGGGTGGATGAGTTTATTTCAGGCAATCGTTCATGCAGACATGATAATGAGAAGCATACAAGCAAAGCGAAGTAAAGAATGCGAGTAGGCCAACTTCATTCAGTGAATCATGACGACTATACATGTATATTGCGATAAAGTAGGCCAGAAATGTAATATGCAAGGCAGGCATGCATATACACGAATAAAGCCAACGGAGACATTAGCGAATGACTGACAAAGTCAAAAGACGAATAGGCTAATCAATTTTTCCAAAGGCTGAGATGAGCCCTGCTGGCTAGACGTAAAAGTGCTCACCAAAAGATGACGCGTGCTATGGACTGGGTCATGAGAATGATATTTCTGATGTATCCAGCGTGCAGTCTGAACGAGATGTCGGGACCCCGCTAGACGGTTGGACCGTCCTAGGATTGGGTCTTGACTTATGGTCAGGGCAGTGTCACTGACGTTTGCTGGTTTAAGGCAATAAGTGCTCACCATGTCGATCAACCTTAAACGTCTTTCAATGACGGAAAATCACGTCGAAAGGTCCGGTGTCCGGTGTCAGTCAGTGAGCTTCTGCTGTGACTGGGTGTCTTTGGGTGACTATGTGACCATGTGGCTATGAATAATCACAGCCGGAATCTCCTCTGTTTAGTTACTTAAGGGAATTTAGCAAACGAAGCATGAAATACGTTTTCAAGCCAATAAAGCATGTCAGTGGTTTGGTACATATCTGTTTGAACTATGGGACGCAAGTTGATGGTTAGGTTTATCACCACCCAGAGGGTGACGTATTAACACGTTTCTCAATCGTTCCTCGCGAGATGGGGGAAAACACTGCCTCCTTGAGACAATCATAGATATCGGGTGCATCAACTTTAGGAACTACCTCACGAATATTGACTATTTGGTTCTCAGTGGATAAAATCCAATTAGTTTTAAGTTGTAAACGGCTTGAAATTGGCTACTTCTAGTCTTAATCAGTCAGTGAATTTAAGATTCATCTATGGTGAATGAAAAAACATTCCGTTTACTGTTATTTGCTTTCAATTTACTAAGCTTATAGTTAAGTTCTTGTGAAATAAAAACAAAGTTATAGTATCAGTTACGAATATCTGATAGTATTGGTATTGGTACGATTGAAATACACTACAGTGTGAGGGAGAAAATTCCGGATGACGAACTTCTGATATATTGTATAGAATGATTCATCATGCGTTCATATCATCAAATGCTTTTTACTTTGGTACATAACAATCATAATACAATAATACTTTAGAATGAAATTGTTTTACAGTGCCACTCAACAATTGATACGTGTCTTTGACTTTAACGGTTCAGTACACAAAGTGTGAATTAATCTTTCGTTTACATAAGGATAAATGTTTATTCAAAAGTGTATTTTTCTCGGTCCAGTAGAGAGTCACTTTTAACCTTTATGGATCAGTGGTAATATCTGGGACTAAGAAGCTGGTTGATACAGATACGTACTCCACAAAAAGATCTGTTTCCTCAAAACTGAAGACATGCCTTGATGATGGTTACCTACTACCTAAAACTATCTAACACCTCGAAAATATGCTCAAAATATCATGTTACTTAGACTAGTGGGTCACATTGGAACAACTTATAAATTTCAATCCGTATTATAGGACCAGATGAATAATACCATTAGTCACTGAGCACTGATATATCGTTTATGAGTTCTTTGACATTTTCTCTTTCATCAAAGGCTAACTATTTTAATAGATATTTTCAGGCAGAGCTTTGGATGTTTGTGTTTTTACACATTTGCAATCATCAATTATTCATTGTTAGACCGCCATTGGAAACCTGGAAGCACTGGACGGCCGTTTTTTCCTGGTATTGGACTCATCAGCAGTGATTATTAGTTGATTCTTTCCTATAGACCAAACGGCAACTTATCATCATATAATTTTTCTCTTTGCTTTATCAGACTTGAAATATTTCAATTAAAAACTACCATTAAAGACCAAAAATCTATCATTGAAGTTCTACGTTCGGATTTAGAAGGGACACAAGCTCAATTAAGTGATTTAAGAAGTGAATTAACTGAAGCCCAAAAGGAAGAATTGGAAAATGCATTGAATTCTAGCCGAAAAAATAGTTTAGAATTATTTAATACTAAAACACAATTGAGTAATTTAAAAGGTTCATTTAAACAATTAAATAAAGAATTACTGGAGAAAGAAGAGGAAATAAAGTAAGTAGATGATAAACTAAACTATCTTCTTGTTCTGTTCATGTTTTGTTTTAATCCAGAGAAATTTTATCAGTTGTGCTCGTATAGGAATATTCATTTAATGAGTAATGTTTGTAGTTCACAATATGAATTTTAATAGGTTTGTGTGTTCCTAGAAGAGAATCAAGATTCCGGTCATAAAGCGTTACGGATAATTCGTATTTATACATTTTGGTCGAATAGGAAACATCATCGAAATCTGTGACATTGACAGTTAAGAGGACCAATAGGAAGCAACATTTGAAGTGACATTGATAGTCAGGGCAGCCTATACGAAACAACATTGGAGCACGTGACATTGATATCTAGGACGACCATAAAATTGACCAACAGGAATTAACCAATACGAATTGACCAATAATTCTCTTAGGATGTTGAACGAATATGCTAACGAATTTTGTGTGATTCATATCTTTGATGCCAACTATATTATCCATAACGTAAAAAACGGACATAGTTCAATATTATAATAGACGTCCAGAGCAACTCAGCTTTCGTCTTTAGGTATTATAACTGTTCTGAAAGAAGGCCTTCCAACTACCGGAGAAAGTATAAATGGTTGAAACTATTTCTTCTGGTTAGCGAGCTAGTTTTCTAGAGGATAGAGCCATTAACTGAATACCCAACCCCCCTTTATCTAGGGCTTTGAATCGTCAGTAACACTAGAACAGCTCAGGGCGGAGTTCCGAATGTTAATAGCTCTGTCGATTTTCGAAAGTGATATCACTCTTGTTGGTTTTAAGGGACTCTATAAACTGATGGCAACATACTCCATATCTGTTATCCAGACATCAAAAACAACTAACTGTGGCAAATAACAAGCAAACTTCCAGCTAAAGAGGAAATTAGGAAAAAACGCTGGAAGTGGATAGAACACATTGTGAAAATCAATTTACTGAGTCACGAGACAGCACTTCAGGGCAAAAGGAAAAGTGACAGATGTTAGGAGTATATTGTGTCAGGAAATCGAGGCATACATGCAAACAATGAAATGCTTGTGGCTAGAAATGGATAGAAAAATTCACAACACAGTAGAATGGATATTACTGGTAGGTGTTCCATGTTCCACTAGTGGTAAAAGGAGCAGGAAAGGAAACTAACTGTCTCATGAAGCTGTTGATCAGGCATCACGGACATATTCCAAAGCATCTCGTGTGAGATGTTTCAGCTGTTCTTAATAATTAGCTGCATGATTTCAAACTGTTCTCTTTCGGATATCACCCGAATGTATTGTTTCGTCTAATGCTTATCGTTTCAACCCTTGTTTATCTCAACATTTCAACCAAGGTAGTTTGAAATCGGTATTATTCGATTCTATAACACAGATAAGTATCCTTATTATGTTTTTCAATGATAATATCATTACTTATCAAAGCGTGAAATGAATTTACTGTCAATCTTATTACTTATTCAATGTTTGTTTTCTTTAGAAAATTAAAAAATATGATCGAAGAATTCAATAAAGGCAAATATGAATATGAGTGTAAAATAAAACATTTGCAAGATACCTCTAATCATGAAAGACAGAAATTTGCTGATTATCGTGAACAAAGTAGTGCATCGTCCAAACTTACACAAGAACTTAAAGATTTGGGCAATCAGTGTAAAGGTGAAAGACATCTAGAAATTATTGATCAACAAAAAGAAGCAATCAATCAACTAAGACAACAATTACACGATCAGTGTAAGGATTCAACATCGAAAGGTTAGTTTTATAGGTAAATCTATAGTCGTTTGATCAAACGAAAAAAATACTAATTATGGTCTCTGTGGTCTGTGGTCTGAAGTTTGTGATGATGTTGTTCAGAAGAACAATGAAAGCTCCACAACCAAAACACCCAGCTCAGAGAACCAAACACCACCACCACAATCATCCACCTGAGCTACAAATCTTCTCCACCATCTCTATAGTCTGTGTGTTTTACAGATTCCAGAGTAAGTATTCAATACAATACGGAATTTTCGAAGTGAAATACAATATTTCAAATTAGTTCTTTATACTACTTTTATATTTAACGAGAAATATAAATCGGTAAGACGTTCAAGAACCTAAGTTTGATTAGGTTTGTTCCGACACACATTTACACTGATAGCATATGTGTTGAATAGAATATTGTAAGCCTTTAGTACGTTTGCTTGGATCCATGGATTCTGATGTATTTGCGACTGACTGTCCTAGAAGATATACAACAATGAGAAAGAAGTAGATTTGCTGGAAAGCCTATTTCTCACAAACTAATAGTAGCTTGTTCGTAAAATCTCAGTTGCGGAATCAACAACTAAACATATAAAATGTCAAAACAGCCTATTCAAATACTTGAGGTTCTTTTTTCTTAACAATGAAATATTTCAGAATGTTACCTACCCCTATTTGTTTTAACACATCTACTGCTTCAATAAATAATAAATCTTTCTAGGTGCGTTTATAAAAAGTCTGTAAGCTATCGCTTCACAAGGCTCAATAAAGTGCAACCAGAGACATATTGCGGTACCTATAGCAATCTACTAAGAAAAGAATGAACTTTCTTATGATTTTGATCTTCCAAATGCTAGTCACTAATGGTTCTGTAAAGGGTATTGTTAAAGTATTCCATACTCAGAGTTCCATTTTGAATGACAACAGTATTATTAATAATTGTCTTTTAGCCACAACATCAAACATTTTCTCTAAACTTCCGAAAACTTATGTGTAGCTTATAAAACAGGATAATGTATCATACATAGTAAATTGTAAATCTTAATAAATTGTTGGAAGATTTTCACCTAACAAATTACAATTGTTCATATTAACAGGAAATACAGAAGATGATGAATTAATTCTACAGATTTCTAAACTAAAACGTAGTAATGCTGAACTACGTAGTAAGGCACTTCTTGCTGAAGTAGTACCATCAGTTAAAGTGCTAACAAACAAATTTACTGTTGCATTGAATGATGTCAGTAATGATAGTGATCAAGTGTCAATGGATCATATTGGTTTGAGAAATGCAATGGATGCTTTGTTTGTGAGTTTCAATTATTTTCTTTATATAATAAATCATTATGAAGAAGGAGTGTAGAGGTTTATGAACACTGTTTAATGTGAAGAGTGTAATTTTCCCAGAGTAAAATATTGAAACCATATAGAGCTTTAAATCACTAACGTAAAGACAATGAGAAAGATATAAAGACTAGATTTCTTGGGTTTCATTCCTGAATGAGTTGTGATTGAAAATTGCTTACTAGTTCCGCAATAGCCCTGTTCATTTCATGTTTTATCGGTTATTTGGCCAAAAATATATTACTTAACAATATCTTATCATTTTTAATCATTACTGTCAAATAACATATATGGAGCATTTCTATGACGATTGTCTTCACTGACGGTTCATCAGAAAGTGCATTCAATAGGCTTAGATAACTGCATTATACTTCACTGTTATATACAGATAAACAGCATTGACTGTAATTGTATTGTTCTGTGTTATCAATGTTACTCCCTGGAAATTAGACCATTTTGATAACTTCAGTAAAGGGAACAGTTGTCTATTCGGTCAATTGACTGACACGCGAGAGGACATGAACTTTACTAACGAGAAGAAACATTCTCTTGTTGATGAATATATGGCTATCTCCATATTATTCTCATGATAAACACTATTATGAACTTTTACAAAAAACATCGACCGGATCCAGAATCTTTGAAGCTAATCTCTGCTACTTTGTAACATTGGATTTTCCTACGTCTCACAACCTAAATATGTATTAAAATCTATAATAATAAAAGTGACCTAGAGACGACATCTAACCACGATTCAAATACATCAAGGAAACTGGATTAAAACAAACTGGTGAGTGTCAGTGACGGGATAATCGAAGCCTTAGTAAAAGTAAAATATTTACTGACTGTTTTGAATGAACAAATCAGGCTTATGAAGACGCCCTATGTATTTTCTTCGAAACGTCAATTACAATAATGGATGACTTGTCTGTTATAATATCGGAAGTAAAGTTTGGCGTTGTATGATTCATATATTGCTTGAAGTTAATGAGGAGGTATATAACAAACATGGCTTGGTGTTCAATCTAAATTACAAAACAAGTGTTCTCTAAGTAACACATGTGTTAAAGTGCTCCTTATGATTTAGTGAGTGATGAAGAGTGTTTATTTAATCAGCCTAGAAAATATCTTTCCTTTCTAATGATGATTATAAATTTCACCTTTAAGTCTTTTCAGTTTGTAAACAATAGCATGACAATGATTTGCGTCATAACTAATGTCTATTAGTGACAAAAATAGTGACTGTAATTTAAAAAAGCAAACTCAGGACTGTAAGTTAACTCTTAGTACCTAACCCTTACCATTTTGCACTATAACTGGTTACAGTTGGTAACAAAAAGGTACGGAGTGATAGCCTTAACTCATAACACTAGCCCAATTCTTTTCTTCTACTACAAGAAATAATTCCACATAGATGAGGATTGATTATTCATCAGATCAAAGCTTTTATTCCCCTGAACGGTTATGGCTTTTGGTTGTCGATTGTCTTAAAACTACACTTCTGTTCCTAAATGTCATTTCAGGGTTGTTTGTATATTATTATACTTTTACTGAAATATTTTGCAAATGCTATCTCATTCTTATGCACTAAGTGAGCTTGATTGTATGACATGTTGTGTATCGATACATCAGAAGAACTATTTTACACTAACAGTTTGACTACACAACTGTGACATACAAATAATATGAATGTAGTAAATGACCATGGTACAAAGTGCCTCCATTGTCTACGACTGATACAACTAAACTTTTGTCAAAGATTTTACGATAACAAAATTTGTTGTATTTAAATACTAAGTTGCAAGTCTTTCACCATCATATTGACAGTCTCCATTCTAAATATTATCTCAATAAATAGTTCACTCAGTATTCTCTGAACATGAAACTATAATCGCTTACAAGGTAGTAGTTCTTAAAACCAAGAAATTCCAATGAGACTGTAATTCATCACTGAACTTTTGACGATATCAAGTTGACCTTGAGTAAAGTAACCTACATACTAATTATTAGGGATTATAAATAAGTGTATGAAATAGCCTTCGTGAGACAGAGACAACTGACCAGCAATTTCAAATCTACTCTATCCTGAATTCGACCTTTCCATTTCCGTGGCGACATGGATGCAATTTAATTATTTTGATGTATACACCTTCACTTCTCGACACACTATGTTCTATGCTCTATCTCTTTTCCTTTTCCCTTGAGGATTCCAAATTATGTCTCGCTTTGTGACCGAATTGCGTCACAAGACAAGCCCTCTTCACATGGAACCCTCAAGGCAAAAGGAAAAGAGGAAGGCCAAAGAACTAATTACGCCGAGAAATAGAGAAAGATATAAGAGGAATGAACAAAAATTAGACGGAACTGGAAAGGGAAGCCCAGGGTAGAGTTGGTTGGAGAAAACTGGTCAGCGGTCTATGCTTCATTGTCGGGTAACAGGCGTAAGTAAGTAAGTAAATAAGTTGTGACGCAATCTTGCTAAAAAAATAAAAAACCCAGTGCATTCACCAGATCAGCTAGCATTTCTATAGTAAAACGAAAATGAATTATATCTCATAAATCATGGACATCTTTTCTTTTTCCTTGGAAAGAGGTTAGTTAGTTAGTTAGTTAGCCTCGTCTCTAATCGTTAAAGACTGAATTAGTTGAATCATTTAAAGAATCATATAATATACACACTGAAATATTTAACACTTGACTTTTTTTCCATGATATAAAAGATTAACAAACAACATTAATTCATACATCAAAAAAAAATTCCTTTATTTTATTTTATTTCATTAACAGATTTCAGAAGAGTGTTATATCAATGTAATTCGTTCAATATCAAATCGTTTAGATATGCATCAAGTACCCGATCAACGATCACTTATACAAGTACCAAAAATAGAAAGAGAAACAATTATGAAAGAACGTCAAAATACCATTGATTTATTATCACATAAAATTGAAATATTAAAAGATCAACTTCATCATAAAGAACATTTACTTATTGGATATGAACGTGATTTGAATCTGTTGAAGTAAGTTAGATTATCATATATAAATGATATCATTTGTTAGATCACTACCATTAGAAACCTGGAAGCACGTAAAGATGGCTGGGACTCATCAGTGACAGTGCGCATCCACGACTTCTGTAACTGGAAAGGATTCGAACCCGGGGCCTTCGGTATTGTGCGCGAACGCCCAACCATCGGACCACTGGTCTAACTAACAATGATTGATTGATGATTTCGAGTGTATAAAAAACACACAAATCTCCATTACTCTAATTGAACATATTGTCGTAATTTGTGCTCACTAGTGACTAGCTTCATGTGGAAATTCTCGAAGTTTATTACTGAAAAGACAACCCTGTCGAGTGTAGGCAGTAACTACCAAAAAGGCAAATGGGTGAGGTTGCGCGAAATCTCTTGCTCAATCAGAGTTAGACAATAACACCATTGGATGCTGGCCCCAAGGTCCGGAGTTTAGGCGCTAGCGCACAAGACCGAAGGTCCCAGGTTCGAATCCTGTGAGGTGCAGGAGTCGTGAATGGGCACTGCCTCTGATGAGTCCCATACCATGGGACGAAACGGCCCTATCCAGTGCTTCCAGGTTTCTAATGGTGGTCTAACAATGATTGATTAATGATTCCAAATGTGTAAAAATAGAATTATTATTTCTCAGATAAATAATAAGAAGTATTTAGTTGATATTTCTTCCTCAACAACAGTGGACATTCACTAACTAATTAAGGGTTTGAAATCGAAACTATCGGGTTCCGTAGTGAATGCATACCATTTTAGAATGATTGAATAAAATAATCAGTCAGTTTCTAACATCATAGCTCGATATTTACATTATACTAATGAGCAATGGCTGTTTAATTCATGATCTACTTGAGGAGTTCTTTAGTTCAGCGAATTTTCTGTCCTAGTAATTACTCAATTCTGTTGTTAACTAAGTAGAGATCAAAACTTTAACAAATACACAACTAAAACTTCACCAACTACATTTATTTAATCAGTTACTTATTTGGTCTATCTCTTTTTTATGTTACATAACAGACAAGCTGAAGCGTTGGCAGAAGTAAAAGCTGAACAATTAGATCGATTCGTCAATGAATTATACTCGAAAGAAACAGAAATCCAACTATTACGTCATAGTTTGGAAATAACACGTGAAGCATTATTAAATGAACGAAGTATAGCATCCTCACTGAGAAATTGTAGAGTAAGTTTTGATGTGTATATGTAAGAAGAAATATATATATATATATATATATATATATATATATATTTATGTTTTTTTCTCAATGAAGCTAAATGAAAATTGTTTATAAGTTCATGGTTTCTTTTGATCTAACAACCCTGTCTACTGGACTCTGTCTTCTTGAAACTAACGGTAAACATAATTTGCCAGCATTCTGACAATGCAAACTCAAACGACTTCTTACCGTGCGTTCAAGAAAAATGTTCAATTTCAGTTTAACCTAACCAACCGAACCACCAAATGCCTTGTCAGGCTATGTTTTGCGATGTACGAATAGGTAGGAAGCAAGTTAGGGGCGGCCAGACCAAAACATGTCACAAATCCATGAAATTACTGACAAGTAGATTGAGTCATGTTGGTAAGTGTCAACTACCTGGTTGGGGCCCGCGAGATGATAGTAATCGATGATAGTAATGGACTCTGAACGACATGGCTAAAAACCGTCTGCAATAGCGCGGGTGCATTCATTCTTTGTGTTCTCTCAATTCCTGATCTTCAGAATTCCTCATCACCTCTATCTTTCACTTTCTAAATTTATCTCACTGGATTATACTTCTTGAATAATATCCCGAACCCTTATCTCTCTAATACTGCTAATACTTTTACTACGTGTACTACTATGGGATTTGAAGTGACAATTTGATCCCTCTGTGCTAATAAGGTTTGGCAACGTGAACTAATGTACATACGTACGAAGTTCTAAGTTGTTTATCGATTGACTGATTCAGTTGAATAACATCATAATATCGTCTAACTGATTAAGTCTGTTAGATCCTGTATCCCAGCAGATATTTTCATGGCTAATCTCAAACAACAAAATAAAGTAAAAGGGGCGATGAATGAAATGATGCACCGGTTTCAGGATCCATGTTTCCAAAACTACCGTCGCCAAATGTTAAGTTCGTCACTAGGTACGCTGAAAACTCTTACCTTTGTCAATAAATGCTAACGAGATAATGAATCAGCGTCTGGGTAGGCCACCTTGATCTAAACGGCTGAAGAAAAGTCCTGATAAGCGTAGAAAGTATATTCTACAAACACCCAGCAAGCACAATGCAATCAAGCACACAAATCTAGTTTCTTTATACATCATAGAAACGTCCTTGAGACAGTCACAAAAATAGCACACTAAAACAACGCAGTAACCAAACACAGCCAAGGATTTTCTTGGTGGGATATGAAATCTCAGAGTCAACTGATCAGCCCATGCTGGAAAACGTGAAATCCAAAATAAGGCGTTTATCCAACGAGTTCTGGGGATCTAACATACCCAACACATATACATGTGGATACGTAAATACACAGTTGACGATAACATAAATGGAATACCTATCGACCTGTTTTTGTCGTTACGCTTTTGATAAATTTCTGTTCTAGTGAAAGTGTTTTTACTTATACTCTTCTGTTCTCGTTATTTGGCTAAGTTGAACCCGCAATAGTTTCAAGCATACCTAACGACGAGTGTAACAATATGCCAAAAGCGGTTGAATTGCTAGAATAGATTGAAGAGCCTCTTTCAATTAGAGTTATGGAGACTAGTTTTTCTACACGTTGAAATAATCAATAAATCATTATTACACCACCATTTAAGACCTGGAAGCACTGGACGGCCGTTACTTCCTGGTATAAGACTCATCAACAGTGCTTCTCCACGAATCGTGAACCTGGCAGGATTCAAACTCGGGCCTTCGGTCTTGCGTTCGGACGCCTAACCTTTGAACAACTAGGCCTGCATCCAATGATTTTAATATCCAACTCTGATCGATCTTGAGATTTTGCGCAACGTCACCCATTTGTCGTTGGTAGCTACTGCCTACACCCGAAAGGGTTGAACTCCACTGCTTACGTCTTCTCACTAGAACCTCTGATGAGCTTCATACCAGGACGAAATTGCCGTTCAGTTCTTCCATGTTCACAATGGTGGTCTAACAATGATTGACTGATGATAACAATGTTTAGTGGAGCCTTTGTTCGATTCAACGAACATATTCTAAAACCTCTCATGTCAGACGGACTTAAGGCATGCGTTAGCGCAATCTCAGAACATCTCCTTGATACAGGATTCTGAATTCTGAAATTTGTTCAAAGTGTAGCCGTAAAACTTCTGACACCAAATCTATCTGTTCAGAAATATACAGAAACAAATAATTCTTACTATGATGACATTACATCCATTCTATTACATGGTCGTTGATTTCAACTTTTTCTCATGCTTTGGATTACATCATTCTCATTCCCTTTTTTATTTGCAATATCGATTAGAATGGACTGATTTGAAGTGGTGATACTATTCTTTCTATAACCACTATTCGGGGTTTTAGGTCAATCACATTTTAAAAATATTTGATACGAATATTGTTTAACTTGGCTAAATCACTCTCATATCTATCTAATTTAATTAAACATGTCCATTTCTCTGTAACCATTTTAATTTTCAAGTGTTATAGGTTGTTGTAAAAACAGTGAGCTGCTGATCAAAAGAACTATGCAAAATGAATTGCTCACTTTTTAATTTATAATAAGAGATAATAAACGGAACTATATGTTGTGTGTATGAAATTGCTTCGAAATTGTATGTAAACAGCCAACAGATAAAGCCATATAAACCACAAGCAGGTGAGAGATTAGTACGAACAAAATATTAAATTACATATATTGTTGTAGACTTTGGAACATACATGGGATTGAGAAGTATAAAAATATATATATACAACAACTGAACTGTTGTACACATTCAGAAATGATGCAAAAAAAGGAATGATTGAGAGTTTTTCTGAAAAACTCTTTCTATCAAATCTAACAAATTTATTAACATCGAATTTCAACAAATATTTACTCTTCTACTGAATCATACTGGTTTGAAGAATGTGTAAAAACAATTAGTTTATTTATTATTTTCCAACAGAATTCCACATCATCAACATCAGCAACAATATCTAATGTTAGTTCAATCAGAGTAAATTCTTCACAGAAGAAACAATCTCGTCGATTAAGCGATGAACATACGAACAAGGTAATAATAGATTGAAGTGATTGAAATGAAGTTATATATATATATATATATATATATATATATATATATTTAAAAGCATGTTTATGACGAAATGAAAAAAGAATGGGGAAAGTGGAGAGCCCTTATGGACAACATTTGAAGTAAATAGTTCTGATGACAGTTCGCTCGACCAGTGGTGTTCGATTAGAGAGCTTGTATAAAGTTAATGTACTTCCTCGGTACGCCTTTCAGTGACCGACACTGCCACAGAACCTCACGACGATCCACAGCGTCAAATGCCGCCTTTAGGTTCAGGAAGACAACTGTTATCTTACACCCAAATGTGTGTCTGTGTTTCAGGACCTGTCGTAGAGTGAAGATGTGGTCTACAGAACCACGTCCAGATCGAAAACCAGCCTGGTTTTCCCTAGTCTGCTCTTCATTGACTTTATTTAGACGTCTAATTATTAGCGAGGCTAGTAATTTAGACACTATATTAGTTAAACTGTTTCCTCAGTGATTGTCACAAGAGAATTTCTGTCCTTTCTTGTAAATTGGGAGAATCGGCGATTGAGACCGGTCAGATGGGATTACGCCCAGTTCTCAAATTCTACCTAAGATCTCAGCTAAAACTGGACATTCTAAATAAGATTTGTGAATTTAGTTCGACATATTATATTTTAAACTATAACAATATCAAACAAATACTAGGGATTCTGTTCCTAGTTTAGAGATAAGCTGCTTCCTTGTTGTATACGATTACTTATATGTGGTTGTGATTAACTGTTGAGGAACTATGGAATGTAATGAATTTATATTTTTCCGACTTTATCTAAATTCATAAACTGTTTACTGGCCTAATCTTATATCACTTAACATTGTCCATCGGGGTAGGCACTGGTTAAGGATATGTCAGTCACTATTGTTCGACTAAGGTATTGCAGTTAGTCTTTTCTTACTTCAGAATCTCTTATTCTGTATTTTTAACTTATGCTTGTATTGTTTTGATGAGACCTGTGATTAAACACATGTCACCCCCTATTAGGGATGTTATATCCCCAGAACTTGCTTGAGATTACAGTTCCCACCAGAAAAATCCTTATCTGTGATTGGCTACTATGTCATTTTTGTTTGCTATTTTTGTGACTACCAAGGACGTCTATATAGAGTTTAAATAAATGCAATTTGAGTGCTTGGATTGATTGTGTGCTGGCTGGGCGATTGTAGTATACGATTTCTACACTATATCAAGACTTCTTACTGATTTACTTTGGTCAATGGGTCACAGTAGCCTACCTGGACGCTGGTTTATTGTTTCGTTCTCGTTATTCGACTAAGGTGAACTCGTAGTAGTTTAAGCATACCTAGAGACGAGCGTAAAAATTTGGCGACGACATTTAGACAAACAATCTGGTGAATTATGATGCACGCAGCTAAATTAGATAAGTTGTTTGCACAACAGCTGAAATTGATAGAGATACTTACCCAGACGCTCATGGCACGATGTACGAAACTGCTGATTTAGGAAACATCGATGCAGGAAGTGTAACGTTATCGTTCATAAAGATGGTTTTCGCCTAAAGAGAAAGCCGAACCGACCCAGAAGTATCGAGAAGCCTGTTCCTAGATCCAGTACCAACGCATTGAGCCTAATATCTTCCTGCCAAAGCTCATCACCAGGTGAGAGGAAATTTATTACTGTTAATATTATCGGGCATTTATGTAGACTGCAAATACATACCGCATCTGATGTCACCATCGTCTCAGGCAAAAGTTGGACTGAATCGGGCGGCCCAAGCCTGCAGAACACAACACAGAAGCCTCGTACAGAATGTGGTAATTACCTTCGTCTGTTAGGACAGTTGGAATGTAAAGCTGACTTACGAGACTCGTCATTTACTGTGGTATGTTATGTAACTCCAGCTGATCTAAATGTACTTGGTTTAGATTGGTTTGACCAGCTAAAATTGTCACCTATACTCATTATCAAGAAGGACAACGGCACGATACGTATATGTGCTGACTTTTCTACAGGTCTCATGCTCTTGAAAGCATCATTACCCTCTGCCAGTCCCAGCACATCTTTTCACTATGCTGAATGGGGGAAGTTCTTCGCAAAGCTCGATCTAGCTAATGCTTATCTGCAAGTGGAAGTAGATGAAGCTTCTAAAGAGCTGCTTACTATCATTACTCATCGTGGTTTGTTCCAGGACAACCATCTGCCTTTTGGAGTTAAGGCTGCCCCATCTATCTTCCAACAACTAATGGATACTATCCTATCAGATATCTCAGGGGTCGCAGCTTATCTCAGTGCGATCTTAATTGTTAAGAAGACGTTAGAACAGCTACGGCATTCATCTTTGATGCTGACAGCCGCAGACCGGATCCTGAGAACACCCGAGCTATCAAACTGATGCCCACTCCTACTAATATCTCGGAATTACGATCTATCCTCCAAATAATCAGTTATTATTCCGCTTTCGTTCCCTTAGAAGCATGATATCCGCACTCCGATGAATTGTCTGCCGCAGAAGCATACCACACGGACCTGGATTAAAGAGTGTGACGCGGCTTTTGGTTAACTCAAGTCCATAATTAGCTCGGAATTGTTACTAACACACTACTATCCATCCATGCCAATCATAGTAACAGCAGACGCTTCAGCATATGGCCTAAGTGCTGTTATTTCACATCAGTTTCCAGACGCGTCAGAAAAAGCCGTTATGCATGCATCCGGTACACTAACCCCAGCAGAAAAGAAGTACAGGCAGATGGAGAAAGAGGCTCTTGCCCTCGTATTTGCTGTTCGCTGTTTCCACAAGTTTCTGTACGGTCGGAGATTCACGCTCCTCACAGACCACAAGCCTCTGTTAGCAGTATTCGGTTCTAAATCTGACATTACAGCTCATTCCGCAAATCGCTTTCAGCAATAAGCCTTGATGCTTTTTGGATATGATTTCGAAATTCAATATGGACGATGCACTGTACAATTCGGTCAGACAGATACTTTGTCACGACTCATTAATGATCAAGAGGCGGCTGAAGAAAACATGGTGATCGCACCTCTGTCGGTAGAAGACCACGCAGAATGTTGTCTGACAACCGCAGTTCGCGCATTACCGGTGTCTGCAACAGACATACAAGATGCTTCTAGAAACGACCCCATCATCAAGATGACGATGAAATATGTCACTAACGGTTGGCCGTCGAAGACGTTTGATGTTTACATGAAGCAACTGTATCAGCGGCGGGATTCATTATGCATCGTGAGAAATTGTTTGATGTTTAGTGAAAGAGTAGTGGTGCCAGAATCCCTTCGTGGAATAGTGCTTAGACAGTTCAATCTCGGTCATCCAGGTTTTAAATGAATGAAGCCCATAGCCAGGAGTTATTCATACTGGCCTCTCATGGATAGACTAAACACAGCGTTGGTTGAAAAACGCATGCGGTGTCAGCAGGCGGCAAAGATGAATGGCAATGTTACGTTGGTTTCATGGCATAAACCTGATCATCCATGGTCCAGGATAAACATTCAGTTCACTGGTCCAAATAATGGAACTATGTATTAAGTTGTATTCGAATCCTTCTCAAAATGGCCAAAAATCAACCCCCGTAATGCCGCCCACGACAACTAAGAAAATGCAGCTCTCAACTGAGATTTACCCGCAAAATGGCATACCAGATGTGATCGTATCTGACAAAGGGTTTCAATTTACCTCCACACAATTCCAAATTTTCTGTCAACGGCTGACCATCAAACTCTTACGCTAACCGCCATACCATCTGCCCTGAAACAAACATTTCATTCAAATCCCGAAACGTACAAACTCACAAACAACTGCCAACTGACTAGAATTAGACAGTCGAGTGGCTAGACCTCCATCCATTGGACATTACCGAACACCTGGAACCGTACTGAAAGAACAAGAATCGAGCGCGAAGAAATCAAATTGGTTTACACTAGCTCGTGAAAATGATATTGGATATTGGATATTGGAATGGGAAAGCGGAAAGGTTTGTGGATACGCTTAAAAGAGCTTTGGTTAAGTCAAACTGGGAGGGGATGCCAGCCAACGCGTTACAAAATTTCTTATATGTCTATCGAGAAACACCAAATGAGTTGTTACCGTAGTAAAAGTCTCCAGCAGAAATCCTGATGGGAATATGGCTGAAAACGATTCACAGCCTGATGCATCCGACTAATGAACCAACATCAGTAGAAACAAAGCAGCAAAGACAGTCTGCTTACGAAGCGGGATGCCTGTGACTACAGAACGAACCATGGTCCTTGGGCAGAAGTGCCAGTGATCAGAAGAGTTGGGCGAGTTGTATACGAAGTAGAGGTAGGAGGTGAAAGGTGGGTACGTCATCATAACTAGGTACTGAAATGGCTGACCACAGATCGCTCATCAAATGCAGAAAATCTTCCCGTTGATATCCTAGTTGATACCTCCAACCTGTCGGCAGCCTCTCAATGAGAAGAACTTCAGCAGCAAACTGTTTTCCGTTCTGGGAGGTATCCTCTCAGACAGCAGCGAACGACAGTCAAGATGCAAGTCGACCCCAGCAGCGAACGCTATTAAAAATGGGAGTAGTGTTGGTGGTGTTAGATCCGCAGAACTAGCTTTATAAATGCCTTATTTTGGATTTCACGTTTGCGAGAATGGGCCGATCAGTTGACCTTTAGATTTCACTTTACACCAATAAAATCGTTGGCTCTGATTGGCTACTGTGTCATTTTTGTTTGCTATTTTTGTGACTACCAAGGACGTCTATATAGAGTTTAAATAAATGCGATTTGAGTGCTTGGATTGATTGTGTGCTGGCTGGGCGATTGTAGTATACGATTTCTACACTATATCAAGACTTCTTACTGATTTACTTTGGTCAATGGGTCACAGTAGCCTACCTGGACGCTGGTTTATTGTTTCGTTCTCGTTATTCGACTAAGGTGAACTCGTAGTAGTTTAAGCATACCTAGAGACAAGCGTAACAATCCATGTGTGCCTTCTATTCATATATTTTGCAGGCAGATACTTATTAAACTGAATGCAGTGCTCATTTTTTGCGATCATCAAGTCAGCAGTTTCAGGGTTCATTAGCTGAACCCACAATGAATTAACTCGTGAAATAACACTGATATCATATTTATATAACTCAACTTGTGAACTGAACATTGGTGCATTCATTGTAAAACTGATTGACATTCACCTCGTTGGGATCACGGATTCAAACTCTGTCTCTCCTACATTAGTTAAAACACTCCAATAGTTTACGAACTTCATAACCTTGAGAGCTAATAAGAGTTCGTCAAATGAGTCAACCAGTGTAAACATTTCTGCCATCATAGTATTTGTTAAATATTTGAATTCAGTTTCATTTCTGACCTTTCTTCTTATCTCGACTTTCATTAACTAGGAACGAACTCAGGGGAAATCTAATCATGAGAATTTGAAACGAAAAGATTATGAATTGGGCACATTGGAAAATAAACTAGATGTGTGTGATGAGAAAACTTCAATTCATATCAGATAAGATCATGAAATGCGAATACCAATAAAAGTATTCAAAGTTGAAATCATTCAAAATCTTAATTTTTTGCTGATATATTCTAAGCTTTAGAAGATGATATAATTTAGACAAAGAAGAATAAAGAATGTATAAATATTGAACTTAGTTGTAAATTAACTTTTTGCCTAACAGGAATAGAAATGAATTACGACCTCGTTCAACATTACTAACTATTGTTATACATTTTATTTTTCTCATATTCTTCAATTTATTCTACTGTGGATTAACTTACCAATCATGTTCAATGAACTAATAAATGTGACTACATATAGTGAAAAATCACCTGTTTTTCTCTTCTTGATACAAAATATTTTGAAATTATAGATCAGTATAGTTATGGGATCGCTAGATTCTTTCTTAATAGTTAAATTCAAAAATATTATAGCTTCCTGATATAAGAGACCGACAGAAGAGCCACAAAAGATAACCTCGACAAATCTGGACCTAAAGTAAATTTCAGATCTCTGCCCGATAAAAACGGCATCTGGTCGAGAACAAAATCCAACAGCTTACAGACTGCTTACGTCAAAGTTTCAATCGCACTTTTGTATTTGTTCCTGAATGTTATATCCTCAGACTTTTGTTGAGCTAATGGCTATTGATAAAGCGAGAAAGAGATTGTATAGAATTGTAAGGAACACGTTTAACCGTGATCATAATAATAACATACGTGTTTTTATTACACTATAGAAAGTAAGATCCAGATTAAATATGTTCATTTTATTGGATTTGACTAATCCGTGATAACACGATGTTAACATTTGAAACGCTAGCATTTGAGGTATGCAAGCTTCATTAAACTGTAGTTTTACAGTATGCACGATAGATGGATTCGATGGCGAAACCATTATTCTGAAAATTTCCTTCGCTATGAAATAGCTTGGACATAAAACAGTTTATAGTATGATTAGGTGAGTGTAGACAAACTGAAAGGGAAAATTGAATTACACATTATAGTAGGGTCAAGATGGACAAATATTGGAAACTTGAAAAAAATTATTCTTTTTTTAGCGTGATCTCACTTTTCCATTGCTGTAAGATCCATTTTGGAAGGCTTTGTTTGGGAAAATCCCTCTATGTTTACATTTGTAATATGTCCTTATTGATTTTTTCAGTTCTACATTTTGATAATCTGTTCAGTTCGATTTTGGGACTACAATATTTTTTTCATTATAGTTTATACTTCTTGTGCCTTGATTGAGTTTCTATGTTCCTTTCTGAACTGCATGATGTTGTTTGAGGTGATACTTTGTTATGACGACAGCCATATTGATTTTGTTCCTCTGTTGGTTGGAGCGGTTGCGCCGACTGGAAGTGTGCGATTCGGATTGTGAATTAGAGCACTCTTCCAGAACTGGAAACACTGTTATAAGAGGGATAGACTATCACTTATTTGAATAACTGAAGAAATAATGCGGTAATATTGTTTGGCTAATGATGTATATTTATATTGACGATTATTAATAGAACTGTTACCTACCCAAATCACTTGTTTTGGATTTCAACTGGGCAAGACGCTTATCTAAACTACCTTGAGAGTTATTGCTCAGTCGAAACATCAGCTTGGGTCCTACAATTGCCTATTTTGAATGTACCATGAACTGTAAATGCACAAACTACACTAAACTATCAGTCAGTTAGTTAGCTAAACTGTAGGACCTCACATGTTCGTACATCATTTCAGGTTACTGTAACACATTAGCACATAGAGGTCGAACTTTCAAGTGAAGTCCCACAGTTTTAGATATAGTAAAAGCATTAACGATAATCAAAAGGATTAGGGATCGAAGATATCGTGGTTGCTGTGGCTGCATTAGTTGTGTGGCAGGCGATATTCGATAATAATAATAATAATTTATTGTCGAATAACAAACATCTTACGAGAGGCAAGCCAATTTACAGGCCAGAATCGAAATGTTAAATTTGCTGACATATATTTTGTAAAACATTGTTCGGTTACTGAAATGTTTCACAAGATACATTGACTTCATATAGATGACTAAAATATTTCACATCAAATTATAGATAATTTTCCAGACTTTGCAGTGAACAATGCGAATGATTTGCGCGAGTTACAATGGTTGTATTACGACAAACTGTTAATGACTGCGATATAATGCAAGATATAGCCACGTCTGCATGTTAATTTTTTAAATTTTGATATTTTTCGATATTTTTTCGCAGACAAATATAGCCGACTTTGCCATCGAATTATTTAAACTGTTAATCGATAAGGCCAGTCAAATAACTATATGTGTAGGTGGTAAGTAATTCTCAAGCGTACATGCGCATACAAGCTCAAGAATGATAAAAGTACAAAATATATGCTAGGCGCTACATGGATATAACGAGAATTGATGAGATGAATGTGTTAAATGAGGTTGATATTCTTCATATCGTAAATTTACAGGCTCCTGGGTTAATTAAGCAAGTCTTCTGCAAATATTCTGACTAATATTTAAGGATTGGAATAAGGTGCTGAAAAAGAGAAATAAAGAGGAAGGGGCAAGGAAAAGAACATAAAATATTCTTGCCTAAAGCCGAACAGTGACTGAACAGATACGTTTTTGGAGAAGTAGGCTAATAACGACAATCCACTAGTAAGATAACGAATAGGCAGTTAATCGTATGAATAGAGGAAATTCAGAATAAACAAACTGTTAGAAATAATGTTGATGTACAGAATATAATAATGAAGCACAGTAACCTGGTTCTTTTGTAATATTTTATTTATTCTGTTTCTTTTTAACTCTGTAGCTCAATAAGTCATGAGTGAACCCTTTTTCAGTAGTTGTCCAGATCTGCCCATAATAAGATTTCTTGGTAGGAAGTTAAAACCAGTGCAAGGTTACGAACATGAGTCGTTAACGATGATAACAAGGAAAAGTAACATCAATATCACTGATTTGTTACATCCTGCTGTATCGCATGAGCCGTATGGAAACGAAGTGTTCTGCCCCCCAGACGTGAGTAAATTGAAATTATCGCCCCACCATCATGAATGCTGGTCAGATACACCACCCGCCCTCCTTTTGTGATGTTAGGCTCCCTTACGTTAAATGGTAGATTTTCAACCATGTTTTTTTTCTACTCTCTACTTTTTGTACGCCTTGTCGGAATACACTTTCTCTAATTCCTGCACCTTACAGGCAAACCAGACAGCTTTGCCGTCTGTATGTAGGAAAAAATATCCATGTATCATATCACACTGATTTTAAGTAAACTAAAGGTATAAATTGGAAGGTGTGTGTCAGTTAGCAGGTAGTTTACAGCCATGTCGAATTTTGATTCTCCGGCGGCGGATACGTTTATCTGGACTTAAAGGGTGCAATTTGGGCCGAAATTCGGAGTCCCTTCCAGTATCGGAAACATTTTGTGTTATTACAGAAGGAATAAACATGTATTATTGTTCAGAAAATAATTTGTATCTGTATTCATAATTAATAATAGAACCGTTACTTACCCAGATAAATTGCTTTTTGTTGGAATAACTGGGCAAGGCGCGTATCTAAACTTCCTGAACCGTTATTCCTAAATCCAAAACTCTTTTGGATTCGGCAAATCGCCAAATCAATCTTTTGTGCACGTTCCTTATCTGTACTCTACTATTGAAAATGTGGCTGTTTTATACTGTTTCTGTCAGTGTCATGGTGTAAATATGCTATCAGAAACTGATTCTTATACTTAATTTAATTGCTATTACTTTTACAGTGAATGTAAAAGCATTTGTGACAATTTGATCCAGCCTGTAAACTGGCGTGACTCTTGTAACGTAGTTATTCGAGAATAAATATATTATTATCTACATCCTCTTCCGGACTCGGACCTCATACACTTTCAACTCCATATCAAGTCTTCTTCTTGTATTTGATGGGGTTTGGGACGCTTTGATTAGACTGTCGTGTCACTGGATCATTGTCTCGCTTCCGTTTACAGACTAGGGCAAACTTGTGAAAGTTCAGGCATACCAAATGACGTGTTGACTTGCGCGCGCAACACGTTATTGAATTACCTGTGCACGATTCTTCATTTTAGACTTGTTGTGTGTATTTAGGTGGGTAGTATACTTAATTTATTCATGGGACTACTTTGGTTCGTTCCAAAAAGTTACCGGCATGTTGAGTAGTGGTAGCGGAGTTGCTTAACACTGGCGTGTGTTATATTGTCTGGTAGAATTTCTACTAGGTTGAGTCACTAAGATTTTATTACTATCGTTAGGGCAATGCTGTGATTGCACTGAGATATTTGGAATTAATCAAGCTTCTTGGATCTGGATGAACTTCGGCAACTGCTTGATTTACAGTTTTCATGTTTGGACTTGTAGTTTGAATTTGGTTTCGGGAGGGGTAGTGTATGGTAATATAGGATTCATGTGGCGGTCGTTACTGTGGCTGTTACTAACTCATTAACTGGGTTGCTTGGTCTGTACATCTTTAGGTATTTGACGTTGAACAGTGCTTCTATCACGGAAAATTTTAATCTTTTTAACTTTTTTAGTGTGTTTAAGTAATGGATGCTTACCAAAGAAGTTAATTATCTCCGGGAAAGAACGGGACAGCGGAGTTTAGTTTGGACATGATGTAATCTCTGGGTTGCACTCTAACAGTAGGACAATCCATATTCTTTGAGTACTGCTTATAACGGACTATCGGCTTGCACTGTCAAGTATATTATACGCAGTGGCACATTGTGCATAAGGAATTCTTTTCAACACTTCTGAAAAAATAGGCCAATAACTCTTTTAGCTTCTTAAAAAATTTCGAGGTCAGGAATTCGTAGAACACTGAATGAGCGGTTGTATAATTGACCAAAGGTGACGTTCACCATGAATTATTTGAGAGTTATCAATCATAAAAGTAAAACAGTTTATGTGGAAACCCTTAGGGTTGGTTGCCTTGGATATAGACTTGTTTCAAGTGGCATTCAATTGCTCATTCTGTTTAAATTCAGTTGCGAAGTGCATATATATTTGAATGAATTATCGATATCTACATCATTAGATTTTTTACCAAGCGCAGACCTACGGAGGTCATTCGTTTGTGAGTTTGCTGGGTGCTTACAATCAGCCACGTTTTCTGACTGCTTCTCGCAACAAGTTTCTGTTTCACATGAATCTCAGGAAACCGTTCATTTGATTGATTCACTCAGATTTCGGTCGATTGTAATTATATCTGTAAGCGAGACACAAGGTAATGAAATGTTTTGTTTCGGTTCGTGGTACAAGTATTATATACTTGTGGAGAGGTTATTGTAAGATATATATTGATCACTGTTTTACGTAGCTCCATTTCACCTGCTTGAATGGCGGATTTGGATTTTCCATATTTATGTCTTAGTTTTCGGATACACGCTCTAGATGAAGACTATCGATCACACATCTGTACCTTACCGTCATTGCCCGCTTCACGCGATCCATGTCACAGTGTCAGCATGCAAAGTGAGATCATTCACGTCTTGCAACAAACGTAGTCATTTAAATCACGGGACATAAAAACTCACAAAAATTGACAAACGACTAGAGTTAGTGCAATTGAGTTGCTATACCACCATCCATTGAACTTTGACAAATACCTTTAACTGTACAGAAAGAGCAGCAACTGAGCACGAAGAAATCTATTGGTTTATACTAGCTCGTGTAAAAGATATTGGACATTGGAGGCAGAAAATTTGAACCTATTGATGCTGAACATCTAAACGGTGTCAAGCTACTCACCTCTTGATTTCATTCTCTATATTCTATGAATGTGAGGCTTTTATAATCACTGGTGTCTGCTTGTTACTAATATTAATAAATGTAAGTTCTACATGGGTTGTTCATTTGAATGTCTGGGAAATATGCAAAACCAAATATCAACTTCTCCAAGCAAACAGAGTGATTAGAGATAATGTTAAACCTCCGAAAATCCACACTCGTTCCCCTTGAATTTAGAATATTGAACGGGAAATTGTACTAGGGTAGTTTCCCTTTGTTTCTTCGTGTCGGTCTATCTATCTACATTATCGATAAAAATGATATAAAGATTAACTGAGAAACAATTTATCAACAATTTTCACAGCAGGTATCATCTAGCAGGCTGATGTTCACTTTAATTGTCAAAATCAAAATTATTCAACTGAGAAATGTTAAGAATGAGTTCAGAATCGAAATTAGTAAGCAAAACTCAAGGCTTAATAGTCCCTCTGCAACAGCTGATTCACTCTAATTGTTTTTAATAATGACTTCATCTGTTTAATATTTGCAGATAATTCAGCAACATCTTACAATGGTTGTTATGTTTTGGTTGTTATTTGATAAATTATAATACTCAATTGGAATTTGACTTACTCATCCAAAATGACGCTAATATTGGGTATCGAGGAGCTGGCTGGTTGCAAGAGACTTATTTACTAGAATTAACACATAGGCTGGATTTTTAGTAGCCGAAATTCGGGATGTTTAATTTATCAGGTCATTTGTCCCAGTCATAACGTGAATTTACACGAGGATAATTAAAAACCAGAACACCAGTTGTTCGTAATAGTGATAAGTAAAACTTGCGTGACGCACGATAAGCAAACACCACAAAGCCAGTGATTGGATGGATGAATAACAAATGGGAGCATATATATATATATACATATATATATATATCGGCATTAATCAATTTGTGGATAGAGGTATTGATTCTCTTTGTTTACAGCAAATTAGAGAATGAATTAAGACTTGAGTTACAGATGTACGCTCATCTCTTCTCCTGAATTCCCATCTTCTGAATTCCTCATCACCTTTTTTCTTCTTTAGATATATGCCACGGGGATATACTCCCTTAACTTAGATTTCCAGTTAAGTCAGGTTTTATTAACATGTCTAGATCCCCCCTACAAGATCATAATGTTTGACACTTACATTGTTTATACCTTCGTGCATTTATTTTCATTCTTTTTCTTTTGTAGACTAATCTTTCCTGATATACTTTTGTTTGAAATCACTCTCACTTCATCTCAAACCCCAATATCATTTACATTGAATGACTGAATGATTGATGCAATCAGAATTCTAAAGTCAGGTGACAATAATGATTTCCAAAACTTTTTACGAACATTCAATATACATTCTCGTGATGCAGACAATAATACACTGCTTCATCATGCTTGTTTATTAGGAAATGTTGAAGCTGTACGCCTTCTGTTAGATAGCGGTGTTCATGCAAATATTTGTAATATTGATGGACAGACTCCAATTTGTGATGCAGCTTTAAGCGGATCAGCTGAGATTATTTCACTTTTATTAAAAAGTAAAGTTGATGTTAATCCACCATCTTATTGGGGTTCTCCGTTAATTTATGCCACACAAAATGGTGAGCTTATAGTTCTGTGATTATCATCACATCTTCATAGAATCTCTAAATGCAATGAAAGTTTTGATCGATGCTGGTGCAAGTTTAAATTCTCCTGAACGTAATGGTCTCTGTCCGTTACACATAGCTATTCAAAGGAGATTTTATGCTGGAATTTACCTTTTACTATCTAAAGGTATGTGTAGTGTACATACTTTGACATTGTTTCATTATATGTGATGTGGATTCGTGGTTGACGTTATGAGCTTACACTGTCATTTTGAACATTATAATTGCTTCTTATGTATGATCCATACATATTACCAGTATCTGCAGCGATGCTGCCTTCTCACAACGGAAGGAATGGGCTAGAAAAGCAACTGTCTTCCGGGATTCAGTATGAGAGAGCTAGTTCCACCCTAGAACTTATTACTCGCTGGTGTGGGTATAGCATTAAGTCCTAGAGCAGAACTAGCGCTCTTAAACTGAATCCTACTAGATATTCACTTGTGCGCTGTCCGACTAAATGACAGTTAGAACTCGTAAAGATAGGGGAACTAGCCGTTTCCTTTCCGTTGTCTCTGCCAGCTCCCGATCGGTCTCATGTTATCGCGGCTCAAAGAAATCGGTTGCAGCTTTGCTCAGATAATTACCTACTTCTAGCAAGTTCTAGTCTTAAGCATAAGGAAAAACATTTTGACTTGGCGACCCCCGAAATCCACCTGACGATGCACTAAACAAGACCACAAAGCTATCAGCCGCTGCTGGAGGGGCTCGATCAGTCAGTCAGTCAATTCCAACGTAGAATTTCGTACCTAAGTAGATCAGTCCAGGTTGCCATACCACATTACCACAGAGACGCAATTGTTGGTTCAAACCCCATAGTGGTAGAGATACTAGAAGTATTACTGGTAATTTAGAAGATTAGGATTTGAAGATATTATTCAAGAAGCATAATCCAGTGAAATCAATTAAGAAAGAGAAAGATGGAGGTAATGAGGAATTCAGAAGATTAGAATTTCATAAAACACGACAAATGGATGCACGTGCGCCGTTGCAAGCGATTTTGAGCCATGTCGTTCAAGGTCTCTAACCATCGGTTACTATCATCTCGCGGACTCGATAGAAGATTGCTACTCGTTCCGGAGCACACATCCTTACTGGACGTAGGAAAGACACTGCAAAGAAACCTCTTAGGGTTCTACTTAATGATGGCATAGCTAAGGATATAATTCAATAACAACTATAAAAAGTTGTGCGGCCATGAAATGATGCCCACCACGAGGCAGCCTGAAATGATATCCATAGACCTGTAGTAACAGCAGTGATATCCGCGAGTAAGGCAAGGAAGAAACATTGGATTTCAGTAGTATCTTCTGAATCGATAGACGCTCGAACACCGATCCCGTCTGGCCCTAAACATTATGAGGAGCGTAATCAGCTTAGGCGCAGGGTGATACGAAACTTACTCAATGATCGCTAACAGTAGCGGGTAGCGAGAACAAGTAAGATGGGAGAGGCAGCGGTGATTAGTAACAGTAGACAACTTTTTAGACTTACAGGGAAACCGGGATTAGGAACCTGACTATAAGAGAGACTATCTCAGAAAAAGATGGTCTTATTATTCCAAATCCAGGGGATTTAATCGATGGGCAAAACACTTTAGAGATCAGTTCAACTGGCCGTCAGCCACACTTCGGTTGCCCACGATCTCCAGTTAACCTGAATGGCGAATTGATGTAGGTCCACCAACTTTTATTGAAGTTGAAAAAGCTATGGGAAATCTGAAACGAAGGAGAGCAGCAGACCCTGACAGGCTTACCTCTTGAGATTTTTAAAGGTGGTGGCCCAGTTTTAGCAGTTAGATTTACCTAGATCTTAGTTAGAACCTGGGAAATGGACATAATCCCTCTCATCTGACTGGTCTCAATCATTGATTGTCCCAGTCTGTAACGAGGGACAAAAGTTTTCTTCTGCCAATCATCAAATAATCAGCTCGACTGATATATTGTCTTAAATGTTAGCTTCAATAGTACCTGAACTCTTAACTAGCGCTGGTGAAGAACATACTCGGGAAAATCAGGATGGGTTCACATATGGACCCGGAAGTATAGACCGTATATTCACACTTCGTCATGTCCTAGATCATAGACGCACAATATGGCGTCCCACAATATCTGTATTCCTTGGCCTTAAGGAGGCATTTGACTCTGTTGATCGTAAGGTCCTATGGCAGTGTCTGTCATTAAAAGGAATGTACCAAGGAAGTACAGTAACCTTATACAGGTTCTCTACTCGAACACCGCTGGTCGAGTGAGAGATTATGGCGAAATGTCTTCGGAATTGATTATCTCGAATGGTGTTCATGATGACTGCCCACTATCTCCATTCTTACTCGACTTGGTCATCGACATGCTTTTAGAGATGACAGTTATCATTTAACCTTTCAGTTGACCTTCTACTAGGAGATTCACGTTTCAACTTAAAAAATGCCGATGATATAATCCTGTTTGGTGACCACTCTAAACAACAACGCAACAAGGCTGACAAAATGCAGATTGTTCTAACTACACTACGCAACAATGCAAGCATATTCAAGATGCGATTTTCCCCGTCGAAATGCTTCAAAATTGGTTTGCAACGGCACCTAAACGAGTGATAGGGAGTGAAGCAGTTGAGCGTGTCGACCACTTCACGTGTCTAGGGAGTCTCACCAGCGCTGATGGTCCGGTGACTGACGAAATCTCAGTACGGATAGAGAAGGGTCGATTGTCTTTCGCCAGTTTGCGTCAATTATGTCGTAGACGATATATCCGTTTGCTAAGCAAAAGAAGAGTTTACTGTGCAGCACTTCGCTTTGTCCTACTTTATAGCTTTGAAATATAGCCAGTCAGAATAGAAGAATTTCATAAATTACTGGTTTTCAATCATAGGTGTCTCCGAAGCATTGCTTGTGTATCCTGGGACCACTGATTAAGCAATGCTGTTGTTAGGAAAATAATATTAGTTAAGTCTGATAGATCAATAGATAAAGTAGTGAGACTTCACTAGGTGCGATGGATGAGACATGTGTTACGAATGCCCAATCAATCACTGACTGCCTCGGCACGAAATGATGCTTGATGCAGGGGTAGTCTGGTAGAAATCTATAAGTGGTCAAGCTAAAACGTGGCGGAAATTCATGAAGTCACTGACAAGTAGTCTCAGCCATGATGGTTAGAGACCCTGGATGACATGGCTCAAAACCTTTTCGCGATGACGCATGTGCATTCATTCTCTCTCTCAAATCGTAACCTTCTGAATTCCTCATCATCTTCATCTTTCTCTTTTTAAGTTTATTTCACAGGGATATACTTCTTGAAGAATATTTTCGAACCCTTATCTTCTCCAGTCATTCAGTTGCAATGTAGAACTACGTACGTATGTACATAAGTTCATGTTGCCATACCACATTAGCACTGAGACGCAGATGTCAAATCGAATCCCATAGTGATAAAGATAGTAGAGGTATTAATGGTAATGAAGAAGACTAGGGTTCGAAGATATTATTCAAGAAATATAATTCAGTGAGATAAGGTTAGAAAAACAAAGGTAGAGGTACCGACGAATCCAGAAGATTAGGATTTGAGAGAGCTCACGAATTTCCGTCTCCGGCGGTAAGGGTGCCCACTAAGGGCTTTCAAGAGCGGAGCTAACACTCAAAAAACTTCTTATAAAAAGGCCGTGCGTGACCGGCCTCAAGCAGTTGTCCCCTTGGGTTCTGCGGTCACGCACCCAGGTCTCCAAGACCAACACTAATCTATCTTCCTTTTCAGGTTCCTCAAGAAACAACCTTCCACGGTGTGGGCAGCCGGGAAGTGTCAACCGTCCTCATACCCGTAACAGCACATGAGACTGAATTGGTCAAAATCAAATCCTTCCTACACCCCCTAATACCTTATCTTCTCCATTACCTCTAATACTTCTACTACCCCTACTACTATGGGATTTAAATTGACAATTACGTCTCATTGGACTATTGTGTTATGGCAACCTAAACTAATGTATACACGTACAAAGTTCTACATTGTATAGCTGATTGACTGACTCATCTAATATGAACAATTTTTACTTATTTATTAAGGTGCAGACCCAAATCGTGGTGTACGATTAACAACTCCTTTACATATGGCAGCTAAATTGAATGATATTGATATGACGTATTTACTGTTAGAATTTGGTGCATTTCCAAATTCTGTAGACCGAGAAAATCATACTCCAATTGATTATGTGCCAAATACAAGTCCAGTTTATCAATTATTAAAATCTGTACAAAGTGAGTGAATGAGTTGTTACTACTAATACAAACGATAATATTACATTTTTCGTTTTGTTTTACGTTTATACCTCGACTACCTGGTTTGGTGTTCGCGAGATGATAATAATCGATGGTTAGATACGCTGAATGACATGGCTCAAAATCGTTCGCAATGGCGCCAGTGCATTTATTCTTTGTGTTTTATCAAATCCTAATCTTCTGGATTCTTCAACACCTCTAGTTTTGACTTTCTAAACTTTTCTCACTGAATCATTTTTCTTGAGTAGTATCTTCTAATCCTAACTTTTCCGATTACTTCTAATACTTTTACTACCTCTTCTACTACTATTGGATTTGAATTGATAATTACATCTCTGTGCTGATGTGGTATGGCAACATGAACTGATATACTTACGTACGAAGTTTTACGTTGCATTTGACTGACTGACTGACTTTACGTTTATATCACTGCATTGTTAGCGCACCTGTTACATTTCAATGTGTCAGTAGTTCTTGGAAGCGTCACAATTTCCTATGGATTATATCAGTTTATTTTTATTTCGTATGTGATTGGTGAGTGTAGTCTTCTTCATGAATAACCATACATCATCAACTACATAACCGCTTACTTACTTACTTACTTACGCCTGTTACTACGCCCAATGGAGCATAGGCCGCCCACCAGTTTTCTCCAATCAACTCTGTCCTGGGCTTCTGTTTCCAGTTCTGCCCAATTTATGTTCATTCCTCCACATATCTTTCTCTATTTCTCGGTGTAATATGTTCCTTGGCCTTCCTCTTTTCCTTTTGACCATGAGGGTTCCATGTGAGGAGGGCTTCTCTTGTGGCGCAGTTAGGTTTCATAACCGTGCCTCCATTTATATACATGTTTTGGGTCAAGAGATATTTCTGCTGAAGCTGTGAACGGGGAGAATATAGTCTGGATTCAGACTGACCTTGACAACGTATCTACCTATAGCGAAACATGGCAGTTACCGTTTAACCATTACCAATGTGGTACCATGCATTTCACTGGTAATCATCACCACAAATTACCACCTATTACAGTGCATGATATTTGGTTAATTACCGAAAATTTATACACTTATAAGCCCATCTCTATTTATATATTTTCAGGTGAAGAGATTATTTCTACCCGAAAAGAAAACCGAATATTGTTACATGATCAAATGAAGTCTTCATGTCATTTTATACCTAAGCTTATGCATATGCATGTAAAACAGTGCTTAAGGAGTAGCAGGTTCGAATCTTTATTCATGCAAAAGAAATTGCGATAGCGTTTGAAGCGTTACAGTATTGGGTTCGAGTGCCAGGTTGTGAACATCATTTCTAGGCTGTTAGTACATTCGGTTGACTTACTTACTCTATGGCTGTGAAACATGGCCAGTGAGAGTAGAAGATATTCGTAGGTTACTGGTTTTTGATCGTAGGTGTCTTCGAAGCATTGCTCGTATGTCGTGGGACACCCGAGTGAGCAACGCTGTTATTAGGAATCGGGTGCTAGGTAAGAATGGCAGATCAATAGATGAAGTAATGAAACTTCTAATACCTTTACTACCTCTTCTACTATTGGATTTGAATTGACAGTTACATCTCTGTGCTGATGTGGTATGGCAACATCAACTGATGTACTTACGTACAAAGTTCTACGTTGCATCTGACTGACATTGACATTCGGTTGACGAGTTGCAAATAGGGAGAAATACACCACTTAGCTTTCATTACTATTCATCATCCGTATCTACTAAATACTGATTTCAGTCTATAAAATCATCGATTATTGCTTACTGATATTGAGAAGTGTAGAATTCCCTATTTGAGATCCTTTAAAGTACTTATAATCCACAGTTTGGGAGAGCTTACTGGACATATTTCGAAATTGGCTATTGTGGCCTGTTTCAACTTTAAACTTATGGCTAAATGAGGTGTGATTACTGTAACCGGTATCTGTTTCGGTTTTTGACATTAGAGCAGTATCCTAACTGGCATATAAATTGAGTGACATGTATGGCGCATATATATATTTCGATACGTGTTTATACCATTGTTTTTGTGTTATCTATTAACATATATGTGTGTTTGTCTAATGTATAACGAAGGTTTCATGAATTAACAGTATACCATTTGTACTGGAACAGTTTGTTTGTAATTTTTCCTCAAATGCCATTCTACAAACTAAGAGTGTGGTTAGTTGTCTCTTCCACCGAAAACACTCTTTTATACAGCTACATATATGCATATAAAGTCGTTGTCTAGGAAGTCCTGCTCATCGCTTTCTTATGATGAAGGCGACGAAAAGCAATCACCTGAATAGGGCATAAACTGATTTAGTGGGTACGAAAGGACCAATTCGAAGAATTGGAAAACCCTCACTCCGAACCATTACTAGCGGTGCACATAAAGACCAAGTTTGTGATGGTACAAATGATCTACAAACCGCATGTTGGTGACCGGCTCGCATGTGAGTACATCTCTCTTCGGAAGCTTGCTTGCTTCGATTCGAACACACGGACAGTATCTCAGCCCATACCAGAAAAATCACTGACTTATATGGCATGTAAAATACTTCAATGCTGACCGTAGCTGCTACCTTGACGTGGTGGTCGGGCTTACCTATCGTGATGATGGCTGAAACATATGTCCCTGAAGGTTCTACCATGCCAGGCTGGTCGATTGGAGAACGATGAGACTAAAAGCAGCTACCCAAGGTCTGAGGGCGAAGTCGTACTGCTGACTGTGATGGAGGGGTGTGACAGCAGTAAGGTGTTTCCCTCGGACAACCAGCATCTGCAGCGATGCTGCCTTCTTTCTCACAAGGAAGGAAGGGTGAAAAAAGGTCGACCCTAAAAATGTCACACCTCACCCTACCTCATGGATTTCCATCTCCGTCAGTAAGGGCTGCCCACTAATGACTTTTAGGAGCAGAGCTAATCCTCAAAAAACCTTTCATAAAAAGGCCATTTGTGAGCAGCCTGCGGTCATGCTCCCAGGTCGTTAAAACCGACATTAATCTACCTTCTTTTTTAGGTCCCTCAAGCAACAACCTTCCACGATGTGTTCAGCCAGGAAGTGACAACCGCCCTCATACGTGTAACAGCACACGGGTAGGAAGGATTTGATTTCGACCAATTCGGTCTCGTGTGTTGTTACGGGTATGAGGGCGGTTGTCACTTCCTGGCTGCCCACACCGTAGAGGCTTGTTTCTTGAGGAACCTGAAAAGGAAGGTATATTAGCGTTGGTCTTAGAGACCTGGGAGCGTGAACCGAGAGTCCAAGGGACAACTGCTTGAGGCCGGTCACGCGCGGCTCTTAAAGGCCCTTAGTGGGCACCCTCACCCAAGGAGACGGAAATCCGTGAGGTAGGGTGAGGTGTGACATTTTTAGGGTCGACCTTTTCTAACCCTTCCTTCCTTGTGAGAAGGCAGCATCGCTGCAGATGCTGGTTGTCCGAGGGAAACACCTTACTGCTGTCACACCGCTCTGCAGTCAGCAGTACGACTTCGCCCTCAGACCTTGGGTAGCTGCTTTTAGTCTCATCGTTCTCCAATCGACCAGCCTGGCATGGCAGGACCTGCAGGAACAAATGTTCCAGCCAATATAGCTCGGTTGGTTCATAACGATAGGTGAGCACGACCACCATGTCAAGGTAGCAGCTTCGGTCGCCGTAATAACACGCGAGACCAAATTGGTCAAAATCCAAATCCTTCCTACACCTCCCCCCCGCAATACCCTTAACAATGCCTCTTTGTATTAACACTGATGTGTTTAAATCGAAGAGAAACAAAAAGTACTCGCCTACATTCTGGTAGTGTGATCAATCAATGCCCAAACTTGCTTCACTCAATGATTGCAAATGTTGATTATTATTCTTTATTGATTTATTGATTAATTGATCTTTTCAATTTGCATTTTGCCCCTACACTTTCCTCTAGATCAAGTTCCATCTTTACAATCCCTGTCCAGATTGGCTATTTTCAGTTTATTACGTTCTGTGAAATTGCCCCCAGTTGAATTGCTTTCTTTACCGAATATTTTAAAAGATTATGTATTATTTCGTCATTTACATTTTACATTGGAATAAATTATCTGTCCTATTCAACTACTACTACCCAATCATCATCCTGTGTTCATTGTTCAATGTTTTCTTATTTTGTGATTGTTTGTTTGTTTTGTCTTTTGTGTTGTATTTTTGACTTTTGTTTTTTTTGTTTTTCGCCCAGCCCCAGTGAAATAATAATCATAATATTTTCAGTAGTTTTATTCATTAGTTCGTTGACTTCATTATTATTATTATTATTATTATTATTGTGATTATTATTCCTTTCAGTTTTGTTTCATGGTATGCGTGTGTGTGTGTGTACACTTTGTGAAAAGACGCACTATGACTGGTTCGTTTGCATGCTTGATTACCACCATTTGTACTGTACTGTACTGTACACTACTGTAATGTAATGCAGTTTTATAACTAACCTCTCCCCATTATTGTTTGTGATCATTGTAATCAGTGTTGATTTCGGACAATTTAAATACTATGCAAGAACTATTTAATTGATTTGTTGATTTTCATGTGTTCATTTTTTTCATTGTAGTTGTTTTCCTGTTTCGTTCGTTTTGGTTTGTTTTGTTACAATTGTGTGTGTGAGTCAGTGTGTGAGTGTGCGTGTGTGTGCATTCATAGCTTGACAGTGAGTTAGTTGATTGTTACATCTCCTCCTTTTATTTTTGTTAGTCAATTCCATTCATCTAAAAATTGCAATATAATTTTAATTATCAACTTTAGTAATGATCATAAGTGTGTTGGCCTGAAAAAAAATTTCATTATCCACATCTCTGGACTGAGTTGTTAACATTAAAATCGATTTCACACAATTAGTTATGTCATTTTATTTACTTTTGACTTTGACACGAATCAGTTTTATCTATTGATTGATTGTATGTGGAAAGTTATCGATTAAGAAAGTGTAGAGAAGAGGTATTGTTATCATGCTCTGTCTTTATTTACAACCTAGCTATTTTCTAATGTCGGACATCAATTTACTTGAGACCTTCTAATGAAATCAGAGCACGGTTAAAACAGGGGTGTTTCTTTCACTTCTGAGAAAACCTTTTTTAAACTACATCAGGATTAATATTGGCTTCTTGTCTGAACGGTTACGCTCTACGGCTCCATCCATTGATAGCGGTTATTACGAGAAGCTAAAATAGTTAGGGTTCATTTACTAACATAGTTTCGAACAAACGGTCAATTAATTCATGAGCTCGTTCTATGTTTCGGTTCCGCCATACTTGTAGTTTTTGATTGATTTGACGTTGATAGTAGTGTATTCGGCAGTCAGTCAGTTACAACGCAGAACTTCGTACGTACGTACATCAGTTCAAGTTGCCATACCACATTAGCACAGAGATGCAATTGTCAGTTCGAATCCCATAGTAATAGAGAGACAGACAGATACAACGCAGAACTTCGTACGTAAGTACATCAGTTCAGGTTGCCATAGCACAGCGTAGAGACGCAACTGTCAGTTCAAATCCAAGAGTGTTAGTGATAATAGAGGTATTAGCAGTAATGGAGCGAATTAGGGAGCAAAGATATTATTCGAAAAGTATAATTCAGTGAGATAAATTTAGAAGGAGAAAGATAGAGATTATGAGGAATGCAGTAGCTTAGAATTTCATAGAACACAAAGAGTGGATGCACCTGCGCCATCGCAAAGGATTCTGAGCCATGTCATTTAAGGTCTCTAACCATCGGTGACTTTCGTCCCACGAACTCCAACTAGGTAGTCGACACCTATGAACATGATTCAGTCCAGTTGTCAGTGACTTCATGGATTCATGCCATGTTGTGGTCTAGCCGCCCCTAGTTTTCTTCCAACCTATCCCTACACCGCAAAATAAAGCTCGTCGCGGCAGTCGGTGGTTAGGCATTCGTAACACATGTCCGAACTACCTCAGCTGATGAAGTTTCACCACTTCATCTATTGATCTGCCATCCTTACCTAGTACTCGTTTCCTAACGACAACATTGCTTACTCGGTTGTCCCACGATATACGAGCAATGCTTCGGAGAAATCGATGATCGAATACTAGTAACCTACGAATATCTTCCTGTCTTACCGGCCATGTTTCGGAACCATATAGGAGAACGAAGGGAACTACGGAGCAGTAAACTCGTCCTTTAGTCAGCAAACGGATATCTCGCCTACGCCATAAATGACGTAAATTGGCAAAAGCCAACCGAGCTTTGTGTATCCGTGCTGAGATTTCATCAGTCACCAGGCCATCAGCGCTGATGAGACTCCCAAGATAAGTGAAGCGGTCAACACACTTGACTACTTCACTCCCTATCACTAGTTCAGGTGCCGTCGCAAACCAATTTCGAAGCAACATTTTGCATTTCGAGGGGGAAAACAGCATCCCGAACATGCTTAAAAGTCGAACGAAGATAATGTTATATCTAGCATCATTTCTATGAAAAAATTAGTTCTGATGACACTTCGCTACAAGCTCTTACTCGACCAGTGGTTTTCGGGTAGAGAGCTTGTATAAGTTTAATGTACTTCTTTGGTACACCTTTCAATGACAGACACTGCCACATAATCTCACGATCCACCGAGCCGAATACCGCCTTTAGGTCCAGGAAGATAACTACTGTAGGACGCCTAAATGTGTGTCTGTGTTCCAGGACCTGTCGTAGTGTGAATATGTGGTCTGTACAGCCACGTCCAGGTCTGAAACCAGCCTGGTTTTCTCTAGTCCGCTCTTCAAGAGCACTAGTAAGGCGTTTAAGTATAATGGAGGCTAACAATTTAGAAACTATATTAGTTAGACTTATTTCTCTGTGATTGTCACAAGAAGACTTTTGTCCTTTCTTATAGATTGGGACAATCAGTGATTGAGACCAGTCGGATGGAATTACGTCCAGTTCCCAGATTCTACCTAAGATCTCAGTCAACCTAGCTGCTAAAACTGGACCACCATCCTTAAATATCTCAGAGGTCAGTCTATCAGGACCTGCAGCTCGTCCTCGCTTCAGATTTTTTAACGCTTTTTCAACTTCATTAAGACTAGGGGGACTTACGTCGATTTGCCATTCAGGATGACTGGAGATCGCAGGTAACGGAAGAGTGGCTCGTGGCCAGTTGAACTGATCCCTAAAGTGTTCTGCCCATCGATCCAATATCATGGATTGAGAATAAATGAGAGTCCCGTCATTTTCTGAAATAGTCTCACTTACTCTAGGATTCCTAATACCAGTTTCCTTGATAAGTCGGAAAAGTTGTCTACCGTTGCCGATCCCTGGTGCCTTTTCCATCGCTTTTGCTTTCACCACCCACCACTGTTCACGGTCTTTGCGCAGGCTTTTTATCAGCCTGTGCTTAAGCTGACTTCGTTCTTCATCATATTCAGAGCCAGGTGGGATAAGTTTCCGGGTATCCATCAGTACGTTGTTGCTACAGAGATCCACGGCTTCAACCTAGACTTATTGTTTACTTTGCTAGCGAATATCCCTGCTGTTTCCACAGCCTTTTTGAAATCATTACTACCTGCTTCTGGATGGAAATCGCTTACACGGTTGCCTAACTGTCTCTCTAGTTCCTCCTGCAATATATTCTTAGCCTCATTATCATTAGGTGTAACCCTTACGTTGTCTTTTTCACGTCCAGTAATCCTCAAACAAATAGAGTCACCAGACATTATTACTACGTCAGAGCGCCTAACATTTTGGAGGAGGTCCGGAAGCTTTCTGTAGAACGCATCTTTCACCTCGTCTGAACTGCAGTCAGTGGGGATCTAGGCAGATACGACGAAGAGGCAACGACAAGTGTCCCTATCTCTCCGAGTCCTTGCTGTTCCGTTCAGTCGGACAGCTCACAAGTGACTATCTTTTGGGGTCCAGCCTAGGAGTACTAGGTCTGACCTACGACTCAATGCTATACCTATGCCAGCGAGACCCCGGCTAGCAGCATCAGGGCTATCGGATACACGAAGAGTGAACGGAGCTGCTTCTTTATTTTGACAAGTTGAAATCAGATTAATAATTTTACTAGGATCCTGTATGCGCGTTTCCGAGACGCAGCATACATCGATTGAGCGAGATTCTAAAGTCCTAGCTGTAGAAGCCTGTTGCCCTATTTGACACAAGGTCCGTACAAAGCTCCAACATGTAGTCTAGAACGAGGTTACAGGAGACCAGGAATAACTTTTCGTGAACTCGCATCGTTTGCAATAGCTGTGCAGTGTGATGAAGGAATGTGAGTAGAGTTAGTCGTGAAGAGAAGAGAGGTACTAGGGGGTGTAAGAAGGATTTGGTTTCGACCAATTTGGTCTCGTGTGCTTTTATGGGTATAAGGGCGGTTGTCACTTACCAGCTGCCCACACCGTGGAAGGGTGTTTGTTGATGAAACTGAAAAGGAAGGTAGATTAATGTCTGTCTTTTAGACCTGGGAGCGTGACTGCAGAGCCTTTGGGACAACTTCTTGAGGCCAGTCACGCACGGCATTTTTCTGAAAGTTTTTAGAGTATTAGCTTCGCTCTTGAAAGCCCTTAGTGGGCATCGTTACGTTCGAAGTCAGAAATCTGTGAGGTAGGGTGAGGTGTAACATTTTCAGGGTCGACCATTTCTAACCCTTCCTTCTTTGTGAGAAGGCAGCATCGTTGCAGATGCTGGTTGTCCGAGCGAAACACCTAACTGCTGCTGTTGCACCCTTCTACAGTCAGCAGTACGACTTCGCTCTCAGACCTTGAGTAGCTGCTTTTAGTCTCGTCCTTCTCCAATCGATCTGCCTGACATGGTAGAACCTTCAGGAACATACGTTCCAGCTAGTATAGCTCGGTTGGGTCATCACGATAGGCAATCCGGATCACCATGTCACTTAGCAGCTTCGTTTGGGAAATATTCATAGTAGTAGAGGTAGTAAAAGTTTTAGTAGTAATGGGAAATTTTAGGGCCCGACGATATTATGCATGAAGTAGAATCTAGTAAAATACATCTAACAGAAAAAGATAAAGTTGTTAAAGAATTCAGAAGGTTAGGATGTGAGAAGACAAATCATGAATGCGCCTGCGCCATCGCAAACGGTCTCTCAGTGTCTCTAACCAATGATTATTATCATCTGGGGGACCCCAACCAGGTAGTCGACATCGACCAGTATTACTTCGACCACTTGTCAATGACTTCATGGATTTCTGCTATTTTTTAGCTTGGCCGCGCTTGGCTTTCGTTTAACCTATTCCTACATCACAAAACATAGCTCGACGAGGCAGTCGGTGGTTAGGCATACGCAACACATGTCCCAAGTACCTCAAGTGATAGGGTTTCACTACTTCATTCATTGATCTGCCATCCTTACCTAGCACATGTTTCCTGGCGACAGCATTGCTTACTCGGTTGTCCCAGGATACGCGAGCAAGGCTTCCGGAACCAGTAATACACGAATATCTTCTACTCTTCATGTCTATATTTCAAAGCCATGATGTAGGACGAAGCAAACTACTGCAGAGTAGGCTCGTATTTTAGTCAGCAAACGGATATCTAACCTACGCCATAATTGATGCAAGTTTGTGAAAGCCAGTAGAGCCTTTTGTATCCGAGATGAGATTTTGTCAGTCAGCAGGCAATCGGTTATCGTGAGACTTCTCAGATAAGTGAAGCGGTCAACACGCTCAACTAGTTCACTCCCTATCACGCTATATACGCAGAACTCACTTGGTAAGTTCCTAATTTTACAATTTATTTTTGAAATTTTGAATATTTATGTCTTTGCACCAAGAGATGCTTAGTTGACCTACAGCTTACATATCACACTCGGGAATCATTGACTGTCGTTGAATGACGGATTTTTTAGTACGCTTTTTTATGGCTCTCCAGGGAGCGTTTCTATAATTGTATAAATAAGCTTGATTTGTGTGCTTAGAAATCTCGCATTTTGTGGGTGCTTGTAGAATACAGTCTCTACTCGA